GCAATAAAAGATTTATTTGTAATAAATTTATTATCAATGTTTAGATTTATAGGAAGACTATTTCTGTCAGTTTGTTTCGTACCAGTTAGTTCCTAAATTATGTTTCAGGTATTTTTCGGATCATTTTTATGTTTTAATAATTGCTCGGTATAGTAATATTTCTTTGACTTTTTAATAACCATCTCAAATATGCATTTATCATTTTTGTAATTAGTTTTATAAGTTAGTTTGAAAGTTTTTTTTGAGAAACTTATTATTTAGTCATTGCTTTTTTTTAACGACATTCTAACTCTAGGCGTTATCCATGAATTTGATGTCTTTTTTTCACAGATTTTGTAACTACAAGAAAAGCCGTATTGTAAAGTTGTTATAATTTATCAAGTTTTTATCAATATTATTAATAAAATATATTAGTATCAATAAATATTAGTAATTTATCAGTTTTTGGGAACCTAAAACAAAATATTGAAAAAAAAGTAAAATAATAATTATAATTTTTAAAAACTACTGATTGTGTAGCTTCAGTCATAAAGAATTAAAGCAACTTATTATACATAATGCTTGATCTAATTACATATGACGCAAGAACAAAGCAGACAAAATTCCAGATTTTTTTTTATAAATTGCAAGTGAAGTTAATTTTTTTATTTACTATTTTAATCGGTAATTATTATATAGGGTAAAATATCTCAAAGTATAAGCAATAAATTCCTGACATCATTTGCTATACCTTGCTGAAGCTTTTACTTAAATTAGCTATTTTCTTTGATAATTTCACTATAGAAATGGTTTAATCTTGTGGTGCCTTTTGATATTCTAGTGGATATGTAAAAAATGGTACAAAGCCCTTCCATAATTTTTAACATAATTCAGTCGGTACTTGTAAAGAACTCACCCTCATTTTATTTTAGGTCGTTTCAGAGACTTTAGTTTTATATAAGTTGTTTTGCAAGCTAATTGGTAACTAAATAAAGTTAAAGCAATTTATTTAATATGCTTTATTGAAAATATTTTGAATTTGGCTTTGAAATAACTTTGTATCAGAAGTGTTACATTTGATGGTTAAAAGTATCAATTAAAAGTTCTATTGTCCCCTTTGGATGTCAGTTTGGCAAAGATGTTAAATTTATTTTTCATATGACAACCAACTGCTACACATTTTCTTAGATCCATGCCATATGCTTAAATTAGCTACAAATTCTCCAAATGATTTGTGTGTTTTTATTGCTTGTGACGACCACTATACTGAACGAAGTTATATTAGTTATATTATTTTGTTTGAGTTACAAGAATTTGAAGGTTTGAAAAATGCAAGTGAACTTTCAAGAAAAAAATATCCAAAAACAAAATTTTTTTTTGACATGCTTTTTAAATAATATCTTACCAGTTATAAATAAACCAACTAGGGTAACTAAAAGTACGGCAACTGCAATCGATAATATCTTTATTAACAATTATATAGAAACGTCATTTGAGACAGGTATTTTTAAAACTAATATTAGTGATCACTTCCCAATATACGTTAAAATAAACCTTTCAAAACCCCATCCAACGGGGATCTCAAAGTTATAACTCTAAAAAAACGCAACCTATCAGAAGTTAATAAGAATAATCTTTCCGATAAACAAATGCAAGAGATGTGGAATCAGATTTTTAATTGTGATAATACAAACAAAGCATTTAATATTTTCTTAAACACATCTCTTGATATTTATAACGAAAAGTGCTCCTATGAATTCAAAATAACTAAAAAAAACAATATTGAATCCTTGGATGGATAAAACTCTTATAAAATGTTCAAGAAATAAACAAAAACTTTACAATAAAGTTTTAAAAAAGCAGAACTGAAGTTAATGAAAAAAGTTACAAAAAGTATAAACGCCTTTACGAAATTCTTCTCAAGAAAGCTAAAAAAAATATCATAGTAAAGAAAAAACAAATTCGATGTGAAAAACATGGGATTTAATTAACGATATAATGGGAAGAAAGAAAATAAATACGGCTATACTACCTCAAAGAATAAATATCAATAAAACTGATATTTATTGTCCATTACAAATCTCGAATGAATTAAATAAACACTTTAAAAACATTAGCTCTAACCTTGCTGAAAAAATCATAACTACACCGAATTCTTTTCAAAATTATTTTAAATCTTTAAATGGCGCGATACTGAATCACGATTTTTCTCATGAAAAGTATGAAATTGCTTTTTATTTTTAAAAAAAGAATAAACCACCTGGTTTCGATGACGTTTCTGGTAATATAGTTATTTCAAACAAATACATCTCCAAACCTTTTTTCTATATTATAAAACTTTCAATAAAAGAAAGAATTTTTCCTGAAACATTAAAGTTGGCAAAAGTTTGTTCAATTTACAAAAGTAATGATCAATCTGAAATCTTTAATTATAGACCTGTATCAGTACTTTCTGTATTTTCAAAAATATTTAAACGTGTAATTTATAATAGAATCTATAACCATTTTAATGAAAATAATTTATTTTACACAAAACAGTTTGGTTATATAGTAGACCAAATTACTAAAGGGTTTGAAAATAATAGTTTCACTCTAGGATTATTTATTGACTTATCAAAAGCATTTGATACGGTTGATCCCCTTCTTTTTTTTGAAAAAATAAACTACGGAGTGAAAAATAAAACCCATAATTGGTTAAAAAGCTACCTCACTCAAAGAAAACAATATGTTATTAGTAAGGAATCAGGTCAACTTAAATTTTTTGTGGAGTTCCACAAGGGTCAATTCTTGGTCCATTGCTTTTCTTGATTTATGTAAATGATTTGAATAATGCATCAGCAAAGCTTAACTCAATAATGTTTGCTGACAGCACAAATTTTTTTTTTTTCAAACTGTGACATTAATCAACTGCATTCTGACATGAACTCTGAACTAATGAATGTCGATGAATGGTTTAAAGCAAATAAACTTTCACTTAATGTAGATAAAACAAAATATACTTTATTTCATAAAAAATCACAAGATGAAAAACATCCTTTAAAATTACCTGATTTTATTTTAAATGATACATTAATTAGTAAAAATGATTCAATAAAATTCTTAGGAATTCTTATTGATGAAAATTTATCATGGCTTCCCCATATTAATTATATTCAATCAAAAATTAGTAAAACAACTGGTTTCATGTACCGTATTTGTCCATATGTAACATCAGAAATTCTGAAACTAGTATATTTTGGCCTAATACATTGTCTCATATACTATGCCAATATCACATGGGCTAGTACTCAGCCAACAAAACTTAAAAAAAATATTTTCTTTACAAAAACATGCATGCGACTTAATTTACAAAAAATGTAAACAAAAAGTATCCTCTTAGAATAAACCAATGGAATACTATAAATAATTATATAATAATTATAAATAATTATAAATAACCAAGAATTAATAGCAAGTATTCTGAATATGGAGTATCATATCGCGGACCAAAACTATGGAACACTTTTCAAAAAACAAAAAAATTTAAATACTGTTAAATCATTAAATTCCTTTAAGTTTATAATAAAAAATGAAATTTTTAAATTGGATAAATGGTTTTCTTAATTTTTCGAAATGAAAATCGAGTTTCATTATTCTTAGTTTTTTTACTTCTTAATTGGGTCTTATTTTGATATTTAACAGAGTTGCCAGTATATTTTAATGAATATTGATAAAACTATATAATATTATTTACTTTCTTGATTTAATGGAAATATTTATGCAAGCTTTAACCTTTTTATTATAAATTATTTAGATCCTATTTTTTTTAACTTGTAAAGCCCAACTTAGGGCTCTATGAAAAGATTGTGGTGACTTTCGTCATCCGTATCTTCTTTAAGCCCCTGCCTGTATTTTATAAATCCACTATTTTTGTATGTAAACGTTTCTTTGTAATTATATTTATTATTATATAAACAGCAAATATATATATATTAAAATAACTATTACAGCAAATATATATAAAAAAAACTATCGAATTTCATTGCCACAAAATAAATGTGCTTGTTGAAGATAAATGAAGCCAACTTGATAGAAGGATAGGTGAATAATATTTCAGAATTCTGATGTTTAAATATGCCCAGAAATATACTAAAGTGCTAAGAAAGTCATCAATTGAACATCAAGACAAGAAACGAGTCAGTTTTTAAGGGTCTATAAACGTTAAACTTTATTACACAAAAGATTAAAATATATTATATTGTATTTATTTAAAGTTTCAAGTGCAAATATGTTTTTTAAAAAATATATTTTTTAAATTTGTGGCTATAAATATCTGTTTGTTTTAGTTTTTCAATTACAATCCTCTTTGAACAACACAAATTTAAATTGGCTGTAGGCCACAAAATTTATCATCTCTGAACTAATCATCTTCAATTTCAATCTTAATTTAGACTTTAAATAGCTAATTTTTCAATAATTTTTTGAAAATGATTGCTGAAAATCCTTTTATTTGACAATGATCAGTGAAGGCGTTTTGGCTAATATAATAATGGCTTCTAACGGGTTACGTAATATTAAATTGGCTTTTCTAAAAAAGGCGAACTTCGATATCTAGGTAATATATTTTTATAATTGGTTTTCTCAGGATGCCACATTTTACCACGCTGCGAAAACTATGTTGTTGTTTAAAATCATGTACAGTTATAGTTAATATAAATAATAAACTTATCAAAGAAAAACTTTTTTTTTCACAGTTTAAGATTTATAACAACTACCATTATTTCTTAGCACTTTACGGCATTTTTTAATATTCGCGACCCAAAACTTGGGTCTAAATGGGAAATTTTATTTTTTACTCTCCACCTTTTATCAAATTTTTTAATACTATATGAAAAAATCAATAATATACGGTTAAAAGTAACGTTTTTAAAACCTTGAGCATACTACCACCCTAATATTGTTTACTTTTTTTTTATTGCCGTAAACATGTGATGGCTACTAATGGCTACTATCCTTGAGAAATTTACAGTTAAAAGTTAAAGTTAAAAAACTATCAAAAAAGTTTTTCAACTCGTAAATTATACGACAACATTATAGCAAAATAAATATAAAAATTCTAACTATAACATTTACCGAAGAATAACTACTTTTTAAAAAAGGAAACAAAATAAATTAAGGAAACAAGAGAAAAAAAAAAAAAAAAAAACTAACAAGGATTAAACATAAAGAAGTTACTACCCAAAAAAATGCTACAGATTCTTAAAAAGAAGGGTTGTCAAAAGGAAATTACACAATTGAAAAAGTTGTTGAAATCATGCAAAATAAATTATGGGTTATAAAAACGTCGTATAACTGATAAACTAAAATCAGTCAATGGTTTTTGATCACGGTGTTCTATATTATGTAATTATCAAAATAATTGATTTTAAAAAAAGTAAATAAGAATTCGAAAAGCAATTTTAATTTAACAATCAACATGCGTGTTATATAGTTGATGTAACGATATATACTTGTTATTTAGTTGATGTAACGATATCTGTATTTACTAAAAACTTTCTTTTGCGTTACTTCATTTCATTATATATTTTTTGACATTTAAATAACCATTCTAGCTAAGAATATTCCGGATTTCTTTATGAACATGACACAAGAAGTCAACATAGCTTAAATGGCTCGTGTTAAAACCGGTATCTTCCACAATATAATGTTTAAACCAAGGCTCTAGTTTGTCCCGTTGACGAACGACAGTTAGCTAAAAAACAATGTAATTGTTTAATTTAGGCAACTTAAATTAGAACAGCGTAGCGCAGTTCTCAGAATCATGGGGTCCAAATACATACAAATATACATACATAAACATTTATACACACACAGATATGTATATATATATATATATATATATATATATATATATATATATATATATATATATATATATATATATATATATATATATATATATATATATATATTACCGTCCATAATTATTCGAATGCCAAACTTTTTAAAAAAATGCTAATTAATTTCTTTAATGTTTATTTTTGCATTATAAGATAATTTAATTAATATAAAAATATTTTGATTAAAATGTTTTTATGAAAATCATAAAAATGCTCAAGTGGACAAAACTACATTAGAATTGGACCATCAAGAAGGTTGTTTGTCCGAAGAAAAGTCTTTTAACATGAAATAAAACAGTTTGTGTATTCGACTGTAACACATAGTGAATGTAGTGTTAAGTTGTGGGACTGAAAAAAAAACCATATACTTAAAACATATACTCCAAAACATTATATAAGTTATTTGACTGACTTAGAGAATAATCAAATATTAAATAGAATGACTTGGCATCACAAATCACTAGGTCTCTCTCTCTTATCATACATAAATATGATGAATTAAAAGTAATGCGGAAAAACTAATGCCTAATGAACTAATGCCTAATGATGCAAAAGAGGTGGAAAAAACTTTTTACCAAGTTGCATAAAGTTGACTTTGACAAGTTGGATAAGTCGTTAAGAAGCTAAGAATATGTAAAGCGGTTATTATCGTTAAGAATGATTAAATAGGCAAGTAGTTTATAAACTAATTTAATGGGATGATTTATTAATTTTTATGTAGACTTAATAAATAATATTTATAAATAGTAAATAACATAATTCAGGTAGATTTTGTTTTCAGTTTTTATCCTAATAGTGGGTAAAACTTTGATATCTTATATTGAAAAGTATGATCATTCGAATAATTATAAATGGTAGTGTATATGTATAAATCTACAAATTAATATGCTCAATGTTCTTAAAAGAACAGACCAAGTAGAAAACCATTTATTAGTTGTTTTTTTTTACACGGTGTTTCATCAAAAATTACAATAAAAACTTACTTTTAAAAACCTCTGTCGTTCAGATTGTATTGCCTCAACAATTTGACGAACTCTTTTTGAAAGTGGTGTATCCAACTCAGGTAATTGAGTCTAAAAAAAATAATAATAACAATAATAATACAACTTCTTTTAGAATTTGTGTATGTGTGTGTGTATATATATATATATATATATATATATATATATATATATATATATATATATATATATATATATATATATATATATATATATATATATATATATATATATATATATATATATATATATATATATATGTATATATATATATATATATAAATTAGTAGAAAATCACTTAGCAAAATTTTTTCTCATTTAACACTGTGTTTCATCAATAAAGACTCATCAGAAATTTCTGATGAAACTTTAGTTTTTATAGTCTTTTTATAGTTTTTATAGTCTATAAAAGTCTCTATTGATGAAACAGTGTTAAATGAGAAAAAATTTTGCTAAGTGATTTTCTACTAATTTGTAATTGCTCTGTTCTTTTAAGAGCATTGAGCACTCTTTTTGTAGAATACATTTTAAATTGTATATATATATATATTGTTGTTGTATGATTTAGTATTAAAAATACTAAACTCTTGATCGTTGTAGAGTGCTCAATATTTAAGAAATATTTAATTTTTCAAAAACAGAGCGTTTTATACTTAAATATAGAAAAAACAACTTTTAATGGAACTTTCATGCCTATCGACATGAAGTACAAAATCAAAAATATAAAAAACCGTTTAAAAATTACCAACTACAGTAGAATGAGTTCTGACGTCTTAGTACAAGAAGACGTAATGGAAAACTTATTTCTGCTATCAAATAATGAAAGAAACTTATTTTTATGTCTACATTTTGAAACTACTTCGCCTCTTTTATTTAGCAGATTATCTCCTTTGTAAAATAATATTTCAAATTTCTCATTTAAACAAAGCTTACAAATTTTTGACGCAGGATTGTATGATTTACAGCGTTTAATTATATTTTATTTGATTGAAGATGTAAATTTGTTATCTTTTAAATCCCATACTTCCTTAGATAACTCAGTGTCGTTCTTGTACTTTTTTATTTTGAAGGATTTTAGATGGTTTGCATAACGTAGCTTAAAAGAGGTTTTGCTTTCCCAATGTATACCTTATATTTGAATTGAGGTTTATTTGAGCTTACGGTGGCTTGGTAAACGATTTTGTTAGACAAGCAATTGTTGTTCAGTGGACAAAGAGATTTTTTAATGCAATTGCAGGCTTTTTCTGATAACTTTACATCACCATATAAAATATTTTTGTTGTGTGAGTTGATGATAGATTTAATGTTTGGCATGCAGGAGTAGCTTATTTTAATTGTGTTTCTGTTAAATAGTAGTTTCGAAATGTAGATATAAAAATAAGTTTCTTCTTTCATTATTTGATAGCGGAGATTAGTTTTCCATTACATCTTCTTGTACTAAGACGTCAGAACTCATTCTACTGTAGTTTGTAATTTTTAAACGGTTTTTTATATTTTTGATTTGGTACTTCATGGCTGATGATTGCCGATAGGCATGAAACTTTAAGTTCCATTAAAAGTTGTTTTTTCTATATTTAAGTGTGTATATATATATATATATATATATATATATATATATATATATATATATATATATATATATATATATATATATATATGCATATATATACATATATATTGTCGGGGATAGTGCAAATCCGCGTTAACTAGCATAGCATAATACTGCATATCTGAAAAAAGTATCCAATTAATATTGAGCATATAAATAAATAACTTTAAGACTTAATACTTATTGTTGACATGAATAAACCTCTATATGCCAATATGAGCCCAAATTCTGTTAAAATAAAAGTCTTAAAATAATGAAAAAATATGCATCAAATGACTAGACCGAGTTATCAAGCCCAAGTGAAATAAAGAAAAAATAAAGAAAAGAGAAAGGATAATAAAAATATCAAATCAAAAAGATATTTTGAACAAATGTTCAAAACAAAACAAAGATACAAAAGTAAAGTGTATATTAAAAAAATCATAATAACAAATTAGACATTGCGCATGTAATAGAAATTATAAACTCAGACTCATAATGGAAAATCATGACCAATGCGCAAGGTCTAAAAAGAAGTTTAACATCATATGCTTGAAGCAGGAATTGAACCAGGAACTTAAGGTTTATCAGGCCGACACTCTAACTGATCAAGTTTAAAAATAATTATCATAAGTATTTTTAACTTTTTACTTAATGAACAGGATGAATGGAAACAAAGTAAAAGAACTCAGGCAGATTATAGTATTCAAAAGTTTCCAAGATATGCTATGGAGCTGGTCAGAGGCGGATGTTCTTCAAATCTCAGGGCAGCCCTTGGAAACGCTTAACTCCATGTTACCAAGCATCTATTGTTACCGGAATTGTTGTCAGGCATCTTATTGTTGACATCAATAATACTCTAATGGATAAGTGTAAATTAGACAGAGCTAAGTCAAAAATAAAAGTAATTTCACCAAAGGCAGATTCAGAAGAGAAGACAACTATTTTGCATTGGTTTAGGTGGAAAGATAGATATGAACAAAAGAAAACCAAAAGGCACTTAAAAGCAAATAATTCTGAAGGACAAAATTTCATTACAAAATTTGTTGCTGCAGAACATCACCTTACTTTTACACATGAGGATGACAAATCTCACGGGATCTACTTGACACACAAAACAATTGCAATTCAAGAGCAAAAACATCCCCAGTAGCACCAACAACAAATTGTTGGTGCTACTGGGGATATTCTTGCTCTTGAGACATTAAGTGTACTTGAAGAATATGACAAGAATATGACAGCCTGGAGAGCATCCTTGCTATTCTTTTAGAAAATACTGCATCAAACACAGGTTGGAGGAGTGACTTGGTGGTTAATCTAGAAGAGTTGATAGCAAGGAAACTTCACACAATAGGTTGTAGCCTTCATTAGAATGAACTCCCACTAAAAGGCTTTTTTAAAAATTTAGATGAAAAAATAACTGGTCTACAAAATTTAAGTGGACCAATTGGGAACAGATGCTCTGAAGAAATTAGTTAACTTTTAAAAAATAGTTTTTCTATTTATAATTTATCAGGCAGCTGTAAATAAAGCTTTTTTTAAAAATGTTTTTTAATTAAGGTTATTAATTATTTTTGTTTTTTGAAAGTTTTTTGAAAGTAACGATATTTTTATTTTTAGAAACAAAAGCAGTTATGGAATAGAAAAGAAAATCCCTCTACTAAATTGGAATGCTACAAGTTGAATATCTCTTATTGATATTGCTGATCTTGCTTATATTGAAATGGAGACATTAACTACAAAAGAATTTTCTGATAAAGATATTTACACATTCTTAAAAAATAAAATAAAATCTAATTTTCAAGACCTCCCCTCTCATTCCCAGAGCGCTGAGAGGTGTGTCAAATTAGTTTTAGAAGCTTCTAACACCTTATATGGATTTGAACCTAGGCATAAATCTATTCTAACAAAACTACTTAGCAGAAAAATGCATCAAAGGTTTTTGTCAAAAGGACATTATTCTCAGTCGTACGATGATTTATTTGCTTAACTTGCTTGTTACATTCATTAAATAATTTTTTTTTTTAGTTTAATATTGCTTTTTAAATGACTTATTAAACTAATAATGATCATTTATTGAATTTTAAGTAGATAATTGATGTAACACAATAAGTAAAAAATTTATACTTGAATGTAAATTGAACTTGTGACATTTTTGCTTGATAAAACGAAACGATAAGCAGTATCAATAATTTTAAATACAAATATTTGAGTTATTCCTAATTGTGTCAAACTTTTTTGATTAAAATTTTGTCTAAACGTATTGAAAAGTATGACCAAAATGTTAATACAATAGTTTTTAGCATATGTTGATGAGAGTACTTACAAATTTAGATCGCTGATCTGCAAGCCGCTGTTTGACTAAACGCCTTCAACTTTTTATTTTTTTGTTTTACATATGTAAATACACCTTTCAGTACCTTAGCCGTTATGAAATTAAAAAAAAGTGAAAAATCGACCTACCTTAATATATATACACATACACACACACACACACACACACACACACACACACACACACACACACACACACACACACACACACATATATATATATATATACACATATAAATACCTATACACATACAAACACACACATATATATACATACATATAAACATATAAACATATATATATACATGCCTATGTATGTACATACACACATGCATACATATATACACACATATAAAAAGAGAAAGGGGAAAATAGAAAGATAATATGGTGTTGAAAGATCCAATTAAAATTAAGTAGTGGACTAATTTAGGTGAAACTCTATCCTCAGTATATTTACCACAATATATTCACCAATGATGTTTCAGTGAGCCTGATAAAAACTGACTAGCATCACTTGTCAGGGATGCATCCTTGCTATCTTTATCAGATACAGGCAATGATAAAGATAGCAATGATGCATCCCTGGCATTTGCAATTTGGTCATTATAAAACATGCAAACCAAAAACTATTAAGTAGAAAGTCTGAAAAAAACTTTTTCAAAAAGGACTTAGACTAGACATAATAGTACTTTTCTTTGCATCCTAAAAATATCACAAGTAGAAAAAAAAAAAAAAGACCATTTTAAAAAGTTCCATGAAATCTATATGACTTTCAATCAAAATTTAGGAATTCGATGACTTTTTCCATGACCAAATAAAATTCCATGACATTTCCATAATTTCCATGAACAGTGGCCACCCTGTAGTTACGCGGTTTACACTATCCCCAAAAATATATATAATTTTATATATAATATAACAAAATATTGAAAAAAAATATAACCATTCATGTTTGTAAAAATTATGTTTTACAGTTCAATCAAACTAAATTGAATTAAGTCTATTTTTATAAATATATAAATAGACACAATTTTTATAACTAATTTACCATATCAACATCCAGTTGACCAATAGATTTCACATTAAATATATCTTGAAGCACCTGGGGATTGACTTGCAATCCAATCCATATAAACATTGAAATTGTATTTTCTAGAAAAATCATTATAAAGTTTCAAAAAAAGTTAAAACATAATATAAATGAAAGAGAAAAATAAATAAATAAGCACCTAAAAGATAAACACCATTTTCTTGGAATTTCTCTCCTAAACATCTAATTTGCTCTGGTATAATATCATCATCATGGTCAAGATCAAGTGAATGCTAAAGAAATTTTTTTAACTCGACTCATTTTTCTTATTGTACTAATTTTAAATTAATTTATTATGCATTAATAGTTTTTTACCTCATAATAAAAAAAATCATAAAGTATGTAGCAGTATGTATAAACTATATAAACAATTTTAAAACTAAAAAAAAAACTAAAACGCAAAAATGTCTGAAGTTAAAGCTTCATCTATTACAAAAATGAAAAAAGGTAATGTGGTAGCGAATGTGAGTTATTAGCTCATCAAGCGACAGTGATAAAGTAGTACACTCCTGTGCTGAGTGTGGTGAAGTGTTCTCTTTAATGACAGTGGTGAAGTAGTACAAGTGTTAAAAGAACTACATTTAACTTATTTCTGTGTTGTAAGAGGCTGTGTTGCCTTATTTGTCAAAGATACTGTTTTGGAGTTATGGGAAAGGAAGAGGTTAAAAAAGTTAAAAAGGATAAAGATATTAATTGCAAACATGTTAAAGGAGGTACAAAAAAAAAATTTAATATCCTAGATAAAATTAGATGTCAAATCAGAACCTTCTTTGTGAGGACCCTTTGTTAATTTTGTCTCTTGAATGATAAATATGTTTCTAATATCTCTTCATGGTATAAGATGCTCAAAAAGTTTTTATCATTCTCTTTAAACTTATGTTGTTATATATATATGTAATTACCTATGCCGGCCTTAGGGATAAGTAAAGTAAACAATCACCAAGGGCCTCTGATTGGTGGGGGACCTCTCAGTTGCACAATTCATTCAATAAAAATTTGTTATTAAATTAATTAAAAGGTCATATAAAAAAGGAAGAAAATTACTTGGTTTTTACTACAAATATAACAAAGTGCTAAAATAAAAAATTGAATTAATTTAATAAATTTGGAATTAACCCTTGTTGCTTTCTTTTGGGGAAAATATTAAAATGTTCTTTTTTAGTCAGTGCATCAAAATGCAAAAGTGAACATTCTTTTTTAGTCGGTGAGAGAAGCAACACAACCAGATGCTTTATTAAATATTGTGTTTTTTTAAAAAAGAAATTACAAAAAAGTGATTGCTCAAAATGTTGTTAGCTAGTAATTTGAACCATAAAAAATGTTTTTTGCTGTCAATTTTTCGTTTATGCTGTCAATTCTTCTCAGATCAGAAAATCAAGCTCACAATTAAAGGAAAAAGTGATTGGAAAGATGTATAGTGTTCTAACTGATCATGAATCAATTCCAAAAAAAAAAAAAAAAAAAATTCCAAATGAAATAAATAATCTGATCAGTAAAAGTACTTTAAAAAAATGGAAAAATAATGTTCAAAATTGCAAATATTATTCCATCATTTTGGAGATGACTATACTTTTTTGAATATGCAACATTAGGAGTAAACCAGTTGTAATAAATGTATATTTTGTGGGATTCCTACCTGTCAATGACAACACTGGTTCAGGTTTTATGAAAGCATGCTTACAAAAGTTTGAAGATCTGAATTTAAATATGCAGAAGTGCAGAGGCCAAGGATTTGATAAGAAAATGTAAAAGGTTACAGTAGCGATGTACAAAAATGTATACTTGAACTCAATCCAAAATCATTTTATGTGTCACGTGGATGTCACAGTCTCAATTTGATTCTTGGAGACATGGCAAAATCTTCAGTCGTTATCTTGGAGACAAGGCAAAATCTTCAGTTGTTGTCTTGGAGACATGACAAAATCTTTAGTTTTTGGAATGAAACATTTTGAAATTTTGAATCAAATTTATCTTTTGTTTGGGGCTTTAACACAGAGATGAGCTCTCATCTTTGTGTTAAAGGCCATATAAAAAATCTGACAGCAAAACCTATTTCTGATACATGCTAGGAATGCAAAATCGATATTTTTAAAGCTGTTCATTATCAAACAGCAGCAGTGTAAAACGCATTGGTGGAAATGACTAAAAATGCCAATGATCCAAAAGCAAAGACCAAAACAACTGGACCAACAAATAAAATAAAACAAATAAATAACTCTCTGTTTTAGGTTACTTTAACCATTTTGTATGGTTTATTGTTTTGAATCAATATTGTCAGCAAATTGATGCAATCAAAAAATATGCAATTTGAAATTGCACTGGAATGTATAAAATGTGCAACCAAGTTTATGAAAAAATACAAATAAAATTTTTGTTCAAATTTCAGCCAGAGAATAAACTCAAGAGTTATAAATGGAAGTGAAAGTGAATGAAACCAAATTATAAATGGAAGTGGATGAAACCAAATTTCTAGCAGTCATAAGCTCAAGAAAAAAGAAAGCTTGCAAAAAATTATGAATTCAAAAATAAATCATTGACAGATCCAAAAAAAAAAAAAAAATATTGAGTTGAATTTTTAAATATTTTGTTAGATCAAGCAGTTATTTTGTTAATTACACGCTTTGAGCAAATGAAACGCCATTTTGGTCTTTTTGGATATCTGCACAATATTAAAACAACAGACTAAATATTTGTCAAATAAGTAGTAACATTAAATCCACATTCTTGATTGGTGTATCATTTCATGGTTTGTTGACAACTAATTCACTAATTCATGGTTATGAAAATATCTTTCTTTAATAGACTAATATATACCCCAATAGTAATTATTGTAATATTCTATACATTTCTTAGCTTAAGTTCAGATTGTTGTGCAAGAGCTTCACTCAGCATCTGCTGTGACATCAAATCAAGTTGTATCTATGCTGGGAGAAGTAAAAGAAAAAAGAAACAGTAAGAGCAAGCAAAAGCAGAGAGGATGTAACTGGTGTGTACTCAAACTCAAACTCAAAAAATGGTGTATTCAAACCATTCTATTAAATTAAAATTTTTATATAAAAACTTTTATACATGTTTTGTTAATATCATTTCTCATTTATAATTTATCATTATATCATTTTATAGAAAATCCTCTTTCCGGTGAATTGTTGCCATGACTAAGAGTTAAAACACTTAACAAGTATTTCTAGTTTCATAGCATAGTGTCCACCTAACTACAATAATTATCTATTTGCTTATACTTTGATGGTTTGTAAAAAATATTAAAAGCATAAGATCAGTGAAGTTTGTTGTTGAGTGGCAGAAGCAGTAGATAGTTGTGAATTAGTATAAAAGTGTTCTTGAATAACTTCAATTTGTTAAGATAACCATTAACCTCTAACTTTATTACACAGAGACACTTTGGTTGAAGAAGCTCATTTAGGTGGGAAACCAAGCAGAGTCCATTTTTTAATACAGAAGCTACTTTTAATGTTAAATTAGATAGTGTGCTTGTTGCACTAGGAGCAATATGCTTTTTTGGATAAAGAAACTGAGCATGCTTTATAAGTGAGACATGAAAAGGTATGTTTTCTCGTAAATAGATGCAGAGGAAACATAAAAGAAAAAAAGAAAAAATGCAGAGGAAATATAAAACTTTTTGCAGTCAGTTTTAAGTTTTTCCTACAACTGAAATAGGCATAGCAACATCACATAACAACAATTTCACTTTTGTTTTTATTTCAACTAAACTCTTATGGTTTTACAGAAATCAATCATTAAAATTTCAGCCTGTGACTTGAACTCTCCATTATCATTTTTTAAATTTTTTCAGAGAATATTTGCACACTGCAAGATAAAGTGAATTATTGAAAATTTAGTTTGAAATGTGACTAAAAATCAAAATCTTGTGCTGAAAAAATAAAGCTAAAAAAAAATTCTTTAAAATTCAATCACTGTATGTTTAGTTTATTACAATATAATTGTAACAAGCTAAACTTAAATTGTAGTTCACAGATGAAACCCATTTTAATCTGTTTTCTCAAGATGTTTAATAAATGGTCAAACTGACCCAAACCCAATTTATGGTCTTACCCATCTTACCATACTTTAACTAATATTAAACTTTAAAAATAAAAATTTCAAAATAATCTAATTAATATTTTTTCAAACAAAATAATAAATAAAACATAAATAATAAAAAAAGTCTTGATGAACTTTATTATGTAAATTAAAATTTCAAATTGTAGTTTTTAAACTTGCTGCTAAAGTGGATTACCACTCAGTGAGCATTTGCTCACCGCAGCAATTAAATAAATCAATTAAATATGATTAAAAACCTTATACAAAAAGTAAGAATAAACTAAATGACTTAAAAAACTTTGAATTTTGAAAAAAATTGATTCTTACTATTTTTAAAAAATGGTTATTTAACAAAAATGCATGATTTTACATGTTTTCCATGCCCATATAGACAGTTACATGCTTTGCATGTTTTGCATGCCAAGTAGGAATCCGGAAATTTTTCTTTTTTAATCATCAATAAAAGCTCATATTCATTATAGAGCCTCTTTAGGTTTGTTTTGCTATTTACAAATTGTGCAAAGAACAAATACTTTGTCTAGTGCCCTAGAAGCGCTACTCAGAAAAAAAACTAAACTAAACATTATGCATTAACATTTAACTATGATTTCTGCTAAATGTTTTAAAATTTGGTATTTGTGCAAAAAGTTGAAATATATATATTAGGGGCAGGAATTTTTTCATTTTCCTCCCAAAAATCAATTTGCCTTATTGTGACTGATAAAGAAATATTTTGAAAATAACTTTAACCATAACTGATTCAAATACCTTCTGCGCAAACTCATTATATTGAAATGCTAAAGTTTTTCAATAACTATTTTTTTAATTAAACTTTTTGGCACCAATTAAAAATTCTTGTTTTTTCTTGTCTCTTTTTAAAAGGAATGACATTAATAAACTAAGTTATTAGTTGAAATTAAATTTAAAAGTTTATGTAGCGCTGACAATACCTTATGAACAACATATAAAAATTAACCCAATGATGTTTACTCTTTAAAGTTTATGTAGTGCTGACAATACCTTATGAACAACATATAAAGATTAACCCAATGATGTTTACTCTTTAAAGTTTATGTAGCGCTGACAATACCTTATGAATATAAAGATGATGTTTACTCTTTAAAATCATGTTTTTAAAATTTACGCAAAACAAATTTACTTCAACAAAAAACAAATTTACTTCAACAAAAAACAAATTTACTTCAACAAAAATACCAAAACTCCTTGATAAGACTCTCACAACTATTATGTTTTATATATTATGTGTATAAAACAGATGTTAATTCAGGTAATACAAATACAGAATAAAGACACTTATTGTTTTATGCCATAATTGAATAAATAAAAAATTGTGTAAATAAAAGATCATTACTGCTTTAATCAACTTCAAAAGTGAATACAAATAAACAAACTTTAAAAACAAGCATTTCTTGGTAATACTCGTGGTTTGAACATAAACAATGGTCAATAAACATGTCCCAACATTGTTGTAAAACATGATAAAACCTCTTATCATAAAAACTTCTATCCAGGTATAAAATAAAAATAAGTGATCACAAATGCTTCAAATAATACTTTTGAGATCGTTAAATGCCCTTTGGCCCATTGCAATTTGTGATCGCTTATATTTCCCCTTGCCTAGATAAACAGCATGCACAAAATACCATGCAGTATACCAGACACCAATCTGGTTTCAAATTTATAAAACATTACAATATGCAATATATCTTTAAAGCATAAAATTCAAATTAATAAAATAACAAAAAATAATTACCAGAGCAAAAACTCTTGGGTAAAAATATGAAGCTGAACTAGCAGGTCCCATTGAAAGACATGCTTGCATTAAGAAAGCTCTATCATCAGAACTCATTTCAGAACCTCCTGCCAGCACATCGCTCTTTATAAGACAATTGACATATAGTGGCAGTAGCTTCATGCATTCTGGCAAAATCAGCTAAAAAAATATTTTGTTTGAAAAAATAACTAACTTTTGGTGTCTTTTTAATATCAGTTTAATACAATTACCTGTCCAGATGTTGATGGTGTGGCACAATGTTGACGATAACATGCTAATATTTGCACGCATTTTTGCACTAAACTTTCTTTAATAGCTTGAGGAGTAGATGTTAGCACCTGCCTCAAAGCAAACTTTGAAAGATAGTTCACAATAGTATCCAATTCACAACATCTGTAAAGATCTGGTAGCTGTGAGCATGTAGAAAATGCCATATTATGTATGCGCAAACGTCTTTGACCAGAAACTGATGTATAAAGCAATGCGTTTTGAATGTATGCAACGCCATCTTCAGGAATTTTATCATCATGTTTTATTTCAATGGCAATAGCCTAAAAAGTAATTTGTATTAGACTACCTTGATGTTGGTGAATTTTTTACACTAGCAATACTAAACTTTACTACAAAATACAAACATGCATTACACCTATACATATATTTTTATACACTTTCATAAAAGCTTTTTGGTTTTTAAATTAAAAAAAAATTAATAAAGAGAATAAATTCTAATAAATACCATCTTCTATTAAATTATATTAAATCAGAGATGTGTAATTATATCTTCTTCTATTAGATTAGAGATGTGTATGTGTTCTATTTAATTTTTACTCATTTTTAATTCTTATCATAAGACATATTTCAAGTTAATTAAAAACAAATCACATCATAACAAATTACACATGTGAAGATTGCACATGTGAAGATTATGTAAATAAAACACTCCTCATAACTCTTAAATATTATTACAACATAAAAAATGTAGTTGCCATAGAGATTCATTATTAGTTTGCGTTGGTTCTAGCAACTTTACTTTCTTTAGCTGTAATAGGTACATCAAAATATTTATTTTAATTTGTAACCGTTTTCATTTCTAAGAACTTCAATCTATATAACACGTTACATTTTTGTTTGTTCTGAAAAATATATTTAAAAATAATTCTACATATTGGAACATGAACTCTCTTAGTTTATAGTAGTGAAACTCATACACAATTGTAGGATGATTTGTAGAGTATAAGGTAAATACTAATCATTAATAAACAATGATTAAAGTCATGGTGTTAAGAACAAATAATTCTGATTTGTGATTAACTCTTCAAAATACCTTAGCGATAAAATGATTATTCTATATAACTCCTGCTGTTAGGTTTACTTTAGCAAACTTTGATGTTATCCTAATAAATTTTGCACATTTTAAATGTTAACTCATATCCAAACAGTTCAAGAAAAAGAAGAAAACAAATTAAAAAAAAAAGAATAACAAATATGAAAAAAAAAAAAAAAAAAAAAAAAAAAAAAAAAAAAAAGTTTTTTTGGTTTTAAAGATGCTCTTCATATCAAAATTGTACTTGCTCTAACCCTAACTCTCAGATATATCAATAAATGTAGATAAAAGTAGATTTCAACTTGGATTTCAATCTTGCTTGGCTAACTTGTATCAACTTATACTTATTGAATCTTTGTTAATAGAATTATAGTTGGCCTTTTTGAAATTAAATGAAATCGGAAATGATGGTTTTTTTATTATTAATTAAGGTTTCCTAATTGCAACTAAAAAGAATAGTAAAATGATCACGTGTACTAGTGAAAGGGACTTTAGCAACTACAATGTATACATTTTTTTAACCATTGGTTAATATAAGATCTAAATACTTTTTAATTGGGTAATGTTTGATACAGTCCTTGAAATGCCAACCCTAATTCCAAGTGCTGTGTATGTAATAAATACAATAGGCTTTTTAGAGAAATTTTTAAAAACCTATAAAATAAAGTAAATACCTTCTCAGAGTCAATAGAGGCCAGTTCAACATCAGTTGTATTATTCATAACAAAGCTGCCAAAAAACTCAACTGGTCGCAATCCTGTGCTGCAACGAAGCCTCATTACAGCATCAAACCCAACAGTTCTCTCAAAGTTCTTTTTGAGATCAGAAGAAAACTGTTTACCATGTGTAACTTCCTTAAAATTTTTTTTTTTAAAGTTATTTAACAATAATGGGGATTACGCTTGTAAAATAAAAATCAATAAAATTAATATATACCTTGAAAAATGAGTATCTGTATACTTGTCCACCAGTTTGTGTAACCATTAAACCAATAGTAGCAACATCAACATAAGAGTTAGGAAAAAGAAAAAGGTCAATACTAACACCTGCATCAATACAATCTTTGACTAGATTCATATAAAAATTTCCTTGAGGCATTAGAATTGTCTAAACAAAAAACAACCTTTATCACTTAAATCATGTTAAACTATTACTCAATAATTGTGTATTTTAGTCTTTTTTTTTTTAAATTATTTGTTGTTTGGTTATTTGTGACTAAGAATATAAAAAACAATCTTTATTACTTAAATCATGTTAAACTATTACTCAATAATTGCGTATTTTAGTCTTTTTTTTTTTAATTATTTGTTGTTAGGTTATTTGTGACTAAGAATATAAAAATAGTCATAAAAAAAAATTTATTTCTATAAATTTTTTTTAACAGGCTTTTAATTATTTTTAAAATATTTTCCTTTTTTTTTTTTTCTTTATTTGCTTATCCCCTAAATCTTTAATATTTGAATAATAAGTAGTATGCAATTACACTTTACATTTACTTCACATCAATAACTGTTCTTATACCAACATAGTATTGTTTATATTTTTGCCCTTTATCAGTATTCTGATTTTACATAAAAATTATGTATGCCATTATAACTTGCATTGCCTCACTGTTTATTAATGTCAAAAAATATAATAAGTAGCATATGGTAAATTAATAACTATAAATATAAATACTGGTAACTATAAATATAAATAATGGTAACAATAAATATAAATACTTGCAACTATAAATATAAATACTGGTAACTATAAATATAAATGCCGGTAACTATAAATATAAATAATGGTAACTATAAATATAAATACTGGTAACTATAAATATAAATACTAGTAACTATACATATAAATGCTGGCAATTATAAACATGTTCTATAAATCAATAGAGATTCCTCAAGACTAACTTATAATAGTATTAAAAAAATTATTCAAAAAAATATCAAAATAAAGCAAAATGGTATAAACAACTGATTTTAATCTTATAAAAAAATTATTATTTTAAATTTATTGCATACAAACTATCATTTATAAATAGAAAACAATAAAAAGCTTTTTATATACATATATTTAAATATTTATATAGATATTTAACTACCTTTTCTTTATCAGTAGCTAATAATTTTCTGTCTTCTCGGTTTTTAAGTTTTCCAGGAGCTTCAGCAATTGGTAAAGATGAATGAAAAATGTACAATTTCCCTGATATACCAGCACTCTGAATTAAACATCAGATTAGAGAAAAATATATATATATATATATATTATCAAATTGAATTAACTTAAAAATTTAATAATCATTAAAATCCATAAAACTTATATAATCTGAAAACACCAACATGTTAGTTTATTTATAATAATTAAAGAACAACAAATAAAATTTGTAAAAATTTTTATATAAAAAATAATTTTTAATAAATTTTATATACACCTTTACCACTTCACAAAAAAACGTAGGTAAAAAGCTGAGGTCAAGTTTGGAGTAAAGGCTAATCTAATGCTGATAAATCATAGTTTTTAACATTAGCAAATAGAACAAAAAAAAAAAAAAAAAGAACAAAAAAAGAAGAGTCCTATTGTAATCAAAAAAATTACAATTTACATATACATTTACAATCAAAATCTTTTAGGGAAAGTGAACTTTATACATTGAAGATAACTTGGAGAAACTTATGTTAATAGTTTATAAATAACTAAGAGTAAAATGAAAGTACACTAACTGTATTCATCTTTTACATTGCATAGTTTAACAGTTTAAAAAAAAAAAAGTGAAACGTGGTAAGTGCTTGCATGCAAGAAGTTCTGAGTTCAATCCCAACTACATACCTGGTAGCATAGCGCTTAACTCATTTTTCTGTGCAGCAACTTTGTTTGTCAAGATTCATGTTTTGAGTTATAGAGTTGCAAAAGGGTTGCTGTGACATCAACTGCTTTGATGTCACATTGGGTTATTTAGATGGTGGGGAGATTTGTGAATTTGCGAGCTTTTATATACTAGATTTGCTATAACTAAAAATATAAAAACAAATATTTAGTCACGCCTCACAACCCCAGATAAAAATATTATTTAGCGGGAGTTCTAAAAAACTACAAGCTTTACCAGAACCCTGGTCACATCCCAGTCTAATAGGCTAAACCTAGCTCAGCCTCAGTTAATTACACCGTACAACACAATCAATATGCAAAACCTTATTGATGATAGAAAACAACAGACTTGGTTAGAAGATGAAAAGCTTTAATTGATTGTCGTCATAATTTAACTTATATCTAAAGGATTTAAGTTTATTTAGGACTACAGATTTAAATTATGCATCTAGAGGGTTTTTCTGAAAATTCAAGTCAAACTTGCTTAAATGGTTAATTCTGGGTCAAGACTCGATATAGACAATAGAAAAAATCTAAAATATTGCACAAAATCAGTCATTAAAAAACTATACTAATAAGCACACAAAGAACTAAAGAAACCACTATTCAAAAACCAAAGAATCCAAAATATTGCAATATGAACAATTAAATATTAACTAATGGGATACTGCAGATTTTACACTTTCTTAAAAATCTATCTACCATTAAATTAAAAAAAAAAATTAAAATTACTTTTAAGGCTTCAACACCACATTTTATAACAGGACCTAAAATGACTTCTGTCTCTCTTGCTTCTCGAAACATTTCCGGAAGCATATCTAAAAAGCTATAATAAAAATAAAAAATATAAAACAACTTAAAAAGAAAACGGTATTGTAAAAAACTTAAAAAGCTATCAATAACAATAAAATACAAATTAATAAATGAACTGGTTGAAAATACCTATTTATTACATCTTTTGCTTCATTGTAGTTAACAAGGAATCCATCTTGAAGAGGAACAAATGCATCTTCAACATCAGTTACTACCATCATTTGAGGTTGAGGAAGGTTACCTTTAACATTATAAAAATGCAACTGAGTACTGTATGTCATAAATCCCACTTTTATAACACTTTCTTCCATTCCAACATCTTTTGGAAGATTTTCTAAACGACTGCGAAGCTCTTCTGATAAAATCTTTACCATTCCTTGCTGAATGCTTTGATATGAAACATCTATCATGAAAATAAAGGCTGGTGGGCTAGGTAGTTTACCACTCTAAATCAAACAAAGTATACTAATTTCTATTTAACATAACATAAAATACTAAACAAGTTTTAATGAAATATAATGTTTTACTAGCTAGAATTAAAAATATTGTGGAGACTATAAGATCTAATTGAGTGCTTTCTTCGATGTTAATGATGTTAATGATTTAATTCAATTTAAATTTGAGTCAGAAAAACAGGGAGGAAATAAAGTTAAGAACGTCATTCAACTAAAAAATACCATTAGAACCAAGCATATAGCTTAAGAATTCTAACGTTTAAAGGAAAAAAATGTTTTCCCACATCTTTAAACCTTGTGAAAAAGCAGGAGATTAAGTACAAGTTTTAATACAGATGAAAACCAATCTTAATTTTTTAATTTACAGATGAAAACCTTAAATTTAACTTATGTGAGAACGAAGGATAATTCACCAACTTATGTCACAAAAAAAGTGAAATTTAGTAAAGAAAATTTTATAGATTTTTGGCCAGACTTTTGGCCTTATAAACCTTAGATTTGGACTTCTAAGATTGTAGCCAGAACTGCAACAAATTGATGATATATTGGAGCACTCAACAAACTACACATCCTAGAGTCAACCAATTTAACTAACTCCTGTGAGTAGAGTAGGACAACACTTTTAAGAAGATTTTAAGATTTTGTAACACCTTTTGAAAAAAATTTTATTTAACTTATTTTAGTTAAGAAATTAAAATTCTCAAAAAATTGAGACTTTTATAACCAACAGTTTTTTTTAAAAAAGTTGTGTTAAAATTTATAAAGGAAAATTTTGTATATGTATTTGAGCAAATTAAGAAAACAAGTATCAATCAGAACAATTTATAATAAAAAGAATGAAACTTTTACATATTGCTCTTAGTCAGTATATTAATGTAAAAGAGAATTATACTCAGTGCTTTTAGCCAGTATTTTTGAGTAAAAGAACTTTATACTCATAAATCAAATTTATATAATTTATATAAATTATATATAAATCAAATTAACTTTTTTGTGATCTTATTGTGTTAAATTTGTGTTTTCAATTATTATTTTTATGTAAAGGAGGATTTTACATAGTGCTCTTAGTCAGTATATTAATGTAAAAGAGAATTATACTGAGTGCTTTTAGTCAGTATTTTTGAGTAAAAGAACTTTATACTCATAAATCAAATTTATATAATTTATATAAATTGTATATAAATCAAATTAACTTTTTTGTGATCTTATTGTGTTAAATTTTAAAAGCAATAGTTTAAAACTAACATAAATGCAAAAGCTGTATTCCATTTTATAAATGGGAGATGCATTTTTATAAAAACATGACAATTGTTTTAATTAGATTTTTAATTTGTTTTAATGACAATTTTAACACAAGCTTATGTTAATCAAAAGTTATATAAAAAAAATCAATAAACATGAGCTTTTTTAACATTGCTTTTTTTTTTTTTTTAAACTTTTTTTTAACTTTTTTTTTTATTTATAAAAAAAGCTTATATGTAAAATGCTGAATAATTTATAATTAAATAATCTATGCAATAAACAGGCTTAACTTTGAAAAAAACAAAAAAATTAAAAAATGATAAAAAACTAAACCTTGCAGTAATCAACAGTAGCAATAAACTCATATGAACCAAAGCACAGTTCAGGTCGTTCAAACATATCTACACGACGACCTTGATGATCCAGATGGCAAAAATAGTCTTGAGGAACTATAAACAAGATCAATAATATAAAACCATCATCATCAACACATCAAAATCATCATCATTGTCCTCATCATTTATATATTTTATATATTTATCAATTTTCTCGAATATTAATCTCAAATACACGGGTGTGATTTTAATACTTTCCCCAATTAAAAAGCTAAACTACTTGCAAAGAATTTTTTTTTTCCAACTGAATCAGAGAAAAAGTAGAACTTGAATTAGAATTCCATAGATTGTCTTTGTTCAAAACTCTTCTTTATTTCAAGGTCAGTTGTAAAAATCATATATACAATCCATTGCAAAATTAGCAAAGTTGCATTTCTTTATCCTGCTCACTATTTGTTACTCCCGATTCCATAATCAACCTCTACAAATTTCTTATATACAATATGGAATACTTTTGTCAAATAAAGTCATAAAAGGTTTAAAAACATATTGTAAGTGTAGTTGGACCTACTCTATCTACCAAGTTTGAGCCTCTATCCAATTGTCTCAAAATTCTTCTTCTTTTCAACAAATCATTTTTGCTGCTCATCTTTTGCCCCATCAACCAAAACTCAATCTAGCATAACTTGTCAGTCAGTAAAGTTGCATCTTTTTACTGCACCTGTCCCTTGGTGATCTAAAAACCTTTATTCATTTGTTTTTTTTTCTCGCACATCAATGCTTTAGAGCTTTTTCCCAAACTTCTCAAAACTCATACAATTTACAGTTTTTCTTCTGTCAACAGTTTTCTTGCTCTTTAATAATATATTTTGTTTTCAGGTAATAGTGGTTACCTGTAGCTTTGTCGCAGGTAAATTAATTAAAAACTTTTATGATTTATGGATCCCCTCTTTGAAAAAAGAATTCATGTAAAAGTTTTATATGTATGTAATTGCTTAGATATAGTAGATCATAATAGACTTTTTTTTCCTTGCAATTTAGGTCACATAATTGATTGTACTAGCTTACATTTAGTGTAAGTCAGCACTACCTCTTGCAAATCTTTGATCAATATGTTTTTCAAAAGCTAAACAGGCTTCTTTAACAAGCAAAATCCCAGACCAACAATCAAGTTGTTTGAAATTTCTGTTTTTTTAAAATATCACATTACCTTGTTAAAATTTCATACTTTTTACAAAATCCCAGCTAATCCCTCTTGTTTATTACTGATTTACTGTCTTCGTAAAACAAGAGAAACCAATCTGTTTTACTTTGTTTATACAATCCATAATGGAAATCATATTTTAGTTTATGATAAAGATTATTTAAACTTACATTAAAAGCTGCAGAAAGTTTCAAGGAAATGAGTTAAAAAAAACAACAGTTGGATTATATTTCAGTTCGATGAGTGAATTGACTTACCAATCATACAGAAAGCTATATCATGTTTTAAATAACTGTAGGGCTGTGATCAAATATGATTGTTTACTTGTTTAAAAATGCTAATGAATAAATAATACTGGTAAATGTTGACACGCTAAACACATTTATTCAAATACAAAACATGTTATACTAACAATGAACCTGATATTATTTGCACTATATATTCTATTTGTGTTATATATTATATTTATATACTATGCAGTATCTGTTTACTCTAATGATAAAAATTCACCACAACTAGACGGTTCAAAGACAATTTAAATTTATGCCCAAAAAATGTTTTTTTTATGGGTATAAACTCATACCTTTAAATAAAATTTAAATTCATATCTTTAAAACCATTTTAATTTCATATCTTTAAATAACGTTTAAATTCATATCTTTAAATAACGTTTAAATTCATATCTTTAAATAACGTTTAATTTCATATCTTTAAATAACGTTTAATTTCATATCTTTAAATAACGTTTCAATTTCATATCTTTAAATAACGTTTCAATTTCATATCTTTAAATAACATTTAAACTTTAAATGCTAATTAAAGTTTAAATGTCACAAAAAAAGAGAGAGATTTTTCCATGTAATAAAACTAATTAATAAAATAGTAAATCAAACAACACAATAACATTAAAGGTGAATTTAAAATTAAAATTATTACACTCTTACAATTTTTAAAAAGTTACAAGCAAATATAGGTTTAGAATCTCAGCTAAAAAGAAGCAAATATAGTTTTAGAATCTCAGCTAAAAAGAAGTAACATTACAAAATATAGCTTTAGAATCTCAGCTAAAAAGAAGTAATATTACAAAATATATCTAGCAGAACAAATGTATTATAAACAAATCTATTTAAAAAGGTGCAGGTGAAACACAAATTTACAACGTTCACGTCGGCGTGTACCACCGGTGGTACACACTAGACTGTCTCATTGGGCGACGTGTACCACTGGTGGTACACACTAGACTGTCTCATTGGGCGGCGTGCACCACTGTTGGTACACGCCGCCCAATGAGATAGTCTAGTGTGTACCACCAGTGGTACACGCTGCCCAATGAGACAGTCTAGTGTGTACCACCGGTGGTACACGCCGGCGTGAACGTGTTGAATATTGCACAATTATAAGATTTAAAAAAAATGTTATCACTAAAATTTATGTTGAATAAATTTTTACCTTCAGAAGAATGATTGCATATGTTACATATAAATCTTCTTCCACCATCAATAAACTGCATAAATGGATTCATATAAGCCTTGCATCTGTTGCATCTGACAGGACCTCCAGCTCCATGCAGCACATAACGAATTTGATTCTGAAAATTTAATTTTTTTACTAATTTTTATATTTTCTAAAAACTTCTTTTGTTTGTTAATTACCTTTTTTTTGAATAAGGTTATTGTTTTAAGTCTTACATTTGAAAATTTCTTCATGTTAATCTATGTTATCTACAGTAGCAACATCAACCAATCAACTCAAGTACAAATGCATGCAAAAGTTTTAAAACAACTTTTTTTTTTCAATTTTAAAAACTTTTTACAAACTTTCTTAAACCAGTTGAAAATTTTCCAAATGTTTGTTTATGTTGATTCCTTAAGTTTGCAAGACAATTTTATTTCATAAAAAAAGCGTTAGAAAATATGTTTACAGAAAATAAAACTTTCCAAAACAAATTATTTTCAGAGATAACAACAACAACAAAAAAAACACTTCAGAATTAGAGATGACAAAAAAAAAAAAAAAAAAAAAAAAAAACACTTCAGGTTGAATGAAGATTTTAGCAGACAGGTAGGATGAAGATTTAAACTAGCAGAAAAGTTGGATGAAAATTATATTTTGTTTAAGTTTGTTATATTTTGATTATATTAAAGATTTTGAAAACAATTAATAACACAAGTATCGTGTAACAAAAGTTAAAGATAAGTAAATATAAACTGAAACAAAATATAATTCATGCTTTTGAAATATCACAAAGTAATTATAACTATTAAATTTTACAAATACTTTGGCTTAATGTTTTATTTACAAAAAATTTGATTTACTTGCAGGGTATGATATTATTTCCAAACTTTTGCACGAAAGCCTTAACAAAAAAAACTATACTTTATTTATGGGTTGAACAGTACCCTTTAATCATTATTTATTCAAAAACTATTTCACAAATTTTAAAAAATTTTTTTGTACACAAAAGATGAATTGTTGTTTGATTGTAATGACACTAATTATTGGTTATTAGATTAAACTAAGTCAACAAACACTAAATCTAAATAAATTTTCAAAAGTTTTTCTTTAAAGGGATCCCTAAGTGCTCCTAACATATGATCTCATATGAAAGAGCATAAAAAAAAATATGTAAGTTTTTTTTCTTTTTCACTAAATTGTAATAATAAATGCATGCTAACAAAAAGCAATTGCCGAAATCACTAAAAAACAACTCCATTTTGATTTTATTTTTTCACCATTGAAACTCGATTGTTAGTCGTTAAAAATCACGTTAGTACATCACAACAACTTTAGAATATCTACTTCGATTTTCAAGTAAAAAAAAGTCGTGATTAAATAGTTAAGTTTTAATCAAGTTCTTTAAATTAGTTTTGCAAAAACAGTATAATAGCATTCGGTTGAAAGACGTCGTTAAAAAAAAGTTATAAGTAATAGTTTTAAATAGTTTAGAACTTATAAAAAAGTCTTACAGGGCTCGTATTAAGCGTATCGCGATCGCGATTGCAACACACACTTTTGTGATTAGTTTTCTCTTAAAAAAAATCTTTTTGCGACTCGTTTTTTTTTTGGTTGATTCTTAAAAGTAATGTTTTTATCATAAAGAACGTCACACAAAATTTATTATTCTAAATAGATAGATGAATAGATGATTTGCTCTTTCGCGCGGAGATTTTCTTTTAACGTAAAACATTTTTGAATTTAAACATAGTCATAGTATTTAAATACTATGACTATGATTTAAATTACTTTAAATCTCTGTGTGGAATATTTTTACAAGGTCGTTAAAGCGAAAAGTTGAAAAGTTGGTTTTTATCTTTGTTTATCAAAACTTCATGTTCAAAATAAGGCTTAAAAACGTTAGAGCAGAAAAATTACTGACTTTTATTTGCATTTTTATACTGTTTGAAAAAAAAAAACTAATAAAAAAGAATTAATATATAATTATTAATTAATATATTATTAGTTAATTCTTTTTTATTAGTTTTTTTTTTTCAAACAGTATAAATATGCTAATAAAAACCAGCAATTTTTTTACTTTAACGTTTTTAAACATGAAGTATAATTCGATTTATTAAACCAAATTTTTTTGTTTTATCTTTTATTGGAAAACTTGAAATAGAAAAATTGAATAAAAACATCAACCATTTAAATGAAAAACTTAATTATATTTAAACTTTTATTAGTCCTTTATTCAAGAAACAAGACATTATAAAAAACGTGGTATCTAAGTTTTTGACGATGTTATTTGATTTATTGACGATAACTTTTTCCCCCCATTACCGCACATCCGCGCGAGCTATAAGAGAGAGGGGGGGGGGAGGAGGAGGAGAGAGCAAAAAAAAAAAAAATTTTTTCGCGATTAGATTTTTTTGCATTAATTCGAGCCTTGTCTTGGATTAATTTCTAATAAAATGTCTATTCAACCTTATCAATTTGAACCAAAAAAATATAGCCATTTAACATAAATGTTAATTCAACTCAAACATTTAACAATCATTATTTTTTGTATCAAGCAAAAATGAGAGTAACCGTCACTTTTGAAACCATAAAAATTACTGAAATAAATTTATTTTTTTACTAAGGAAATATTTTAAATAAACTTTCTTATGTCTAAGTCAATATTCATTTGTTTTTAACTGACTAAAAAGAGTTTAAAATTTGACTTCTATTCATTTTTAGCCGTGGAATTGCCCTTATAACACAAATATATAAATTAATATTATAAAAAAAATTTTAATATACAAATATATTTTCACATAATGCTACAAAACTTATTCTTGTAAGTAATTATGTGTTAGTTGAAAAAAAACGACTTTACTTTTAAATTTAATTACCAACTAATAAGTTTGCAATAATGACATTTTGTCTACTTTGTTTAATTTGACGTACTAACGTTAGTTTTTTGAGGCAGTAGAGTCAATAAACTTTGGACAAGACGCATTTTTTTTAATCAAAGAAAAGCGTTTTTTTGAAAATTAAATTTGTTAGTGTGTGTTCATTATTGCGTTTTAGAAAAAATAATGTACATCAAACATTTTTTTTTTTATGCTCTTTCATATGAGATCATATCTTTATAGCACTTAGGGATCCCTTTAACATCCTTTATTGTGACAAGTTAATATTTCAAAATTAACTGATGTTTCTTGATCCTCAGTTGTATTTATTTTGCAGCAATATAAACAAATTCAATCTATTAAATAAAAAGCTGGAAATGGAGAAAAAAAAAAGGATTTAAAAATAAATATAAAGCAAAATCAATCATTTGCTCCATAAGAGCAAATCCATGTCAGTTGTAGAGTGATCTTGCGAGAAAACTTAAGTGAAGCTTTGATAGTGATCTTGCGAGAAAACTTAAGTGAAGCTTTGATAGTGATCTTGCGAGAAAACTTAAGTGAAGCTTTGATAGTGATCTTGCTAGAAAACTTAAGTGAAGCTTTGATAGTGATCTTGCGAGAAAACTTAAGTGAAGCTTTGATAGTGATCTTGCGAGAAAACTTAAGTGAAGCTTTGATAGTGATCTTGTGAGAAAACTTAAGTGAAGCTTTGATAGAAAAAGTGCTTAGATCTCAAGAATATAAAGCATAACATAAAAAATTTTTTTTTTGAAAAAAGTTTTCATCAGTCATTTTTTTTTGAAAAACATTTTCATCAGTCAAAATTTAGATATGTTATTAAAATTCAATTAAAAAATTTAAAGTATATTCAAACTAAGAAAATTTCTTCCAAGTTCTTTATATGTCAAGCAATCTGCCCCTGATTTGAAAAGTACACTATACATTATTTGTAATACTTTCAACAGCGATTTGTTTATGAAAAGAATGCTTAAAAAAAACTATTTGCCATTTATTAAAAAGCATGATATGCCCAGAATATTTTGGCTTCATATGGTGACAATCCACTAATTCAAGAAGTCTCTAGAATAAAATGAACAAATTGGCACTTAACTTGTACTTAAGAAGCAAAGGAAGCAAATCCTACAAACTGCTTTGAACAGCGAATTATTAAAAGAATTGGTCAATTATAAAAGGAAAATAGATAAAGGAAAATATTTTCTTATTGAAATAGATAAAGGAAAATATTTTCTTATTGAAAAACAAAAAACTAGGTTCAGATAAAAAGATTTTAAGAAAAATTGGATAGAAGTTTCAAAAAAAGTAACTCAAAGCAAAAGCTGATAACACCAATTACTTGCGTTATCTAAGCATGCAATAAAAAATGTAAATTTTTTTTTGAAATAATTCAATTAACTTTATAATTAAAGTTATAAATTACAATTTTAATTATAAAGTTATAAATATAAACCATTAAAATTATAAATTATAATAGCTATAGCCATAACAATTTATAATTTTGGTTGTTTTATATTATAAACTGAATTAACCTAGCATTTAACTTAGCTTTGAGATTTAAGAGACTTTGAAAAGTTAAGCTCTAAAAATTGAAACTTTTTCACTTTACTGCATATTATTTTATTATATTTTAGGATATGTTATTTATATTAATGATTGGTTACAAAATTATATAATGGGTTATGTGGTTGCTAATTTTTAAATTTAAGCAAGGTCCAATATTATTTAAACCAATCAAACTTATATTGTTTGATCATTTTGTATTGCAACTATAAAAAATAAGAAAATTTTATAAAAGTCCTAATAAAAATTTGAAAAACAGAACTTTGATTGATTGAATATTCATTAGAAGCTTTATTTTATATATTCAAAAAGATTTGAGTCAAAAGTTAAGATTATTAAAACTACTCATTAAGATATAAAAAATATACAATTATATTACCTCATCATCAGGTATTTTTGCTAAAGGGGTTGTTACAATAGCTATAGGTATACCACTTGTTTTCACCATATCTTGATTGCATGGCATAGAATAAATAGATGATCGCATATAGCGAGGACTGCAGTTACCTAAAGTTAATAAACTATATTCCACAATTCATTTAAAAAATATTATATAGAATATTCTTCAAATAAATAAACTGACCATCATCTTGAATCCTGCATTTTGTGCTCACTAATGGCGGAACTTTACCACGTGTACTAGTTAAAAATACTTCTTCATTAAAGGCAGCTTGATCATCTTTCATTACTTGAATCTATAAAATTATACTGCAGATATTGATGAAACAATTAAATTATCAGATAACAAATATTCTTTAATAATCGTGAGGAATAAAAATAATGCATAACTTGTCAAAGTTAGAACTAAATTTTTTGATCAGAGATTTGAATTTTTTTATTACAAACTGTAATTTACAATTAAAAATAATTATATATATGGTCTAACATGACCATATATTTAAAATGAATAGTCAAATGAGACCATATACTTAAAGTATGTTGAAATGAGATAATAGATTGAACTTAACCAACATTTCCTTTATTCACTATTTGATTTTAAAATTTTTGTTTTAAAGATCAGATTTTGAAATTTAAATGTAATATAGCTTCTTTTGATACCCAGGTTAATAAACTTTTAAAAAAATAAAATTTTGCTAATATTTAAGGTTAAGTTTTTACTTATTTTTATTTTTTTTGTTTACGTGTGTGAAGGAATTTAAAATTATGAAAATAATTTTTTTCATTGATAAGATAAAAAAAAAAAATAATATCTTTTCTATGAATAATACCTAATAAACTGTAACAAATTCCCTTAATATCAAGAAATAGTTAAAAACAAACTTTAAATGCATTTTTCAATAAAATTTTCTAGAAAGAATATGTGTGCAGTATATTAAGTGATCTTTATTATTTTTGTAATAAGAATTAATCAATTCATTATGAAACAAAAAAAAAAAAAAAAAAAAAAAAAAATTCAACTTGTTAATAATTATTTACAAAACTTAAAATTGTTAATAATTGTTTACAAACTGCATTTAGAGACAATTCAATTTTTTTTAAGGTCTAGGACAAAATGTCCAATCAAAATTTGGCTAGGTCAAAAATATCTGATCAATTTTTAAAATAAAATTTGACACTACATCTTTTTTAAAAATACTGTCAGTACCTCTTTAGTTAAAGAGAACACATAACAAAAAGTACTGCAGATAAGATTGCTTAGACTAGGTAAGGATGTATCTGTGTTTAAAGGTATCAAATTATGTAATAGAATTCTGCGTCATTTTTTTTTTACGTTAGTCTAGTGAAGTTGTGGGTTTTTCTTATTAAGATTATTAAATAATAATGAAAACAACAACAACAAAGAATAAATCAACTAAAAAAGGTGCCAGAACATTTTTCCTGCGCATTCCACGACAACAAAAAGCACTATATATATGTTCTAAATACATGCTAAATTTAAATGAAACAAACATACAGTCTTTTTGGCAAAAAAAACAAAACAAAAAAAATATATATATATATATATATCAGGGGCTATTCTAGACCATTTTCGACAGCATCAACCATATTTGGGGGCCGCCTAAATTAAAATTTGAGGACCTTTTTTTTTTTTATAATACATTTTTACGGCAAATATTGTTTTTTTTTGTTGTTGCGAAAAAACGCTGATTTTCCGCTAAATTTCTCTGGGACGGAGAGGTAATGTTGCCCAAATATTTTTCCTAAAATAGGCCCTATATATATATATACATATATATATATATATATATATATATATATATATATATATATATATATATATATATATATATATATATATATATATATATATATATATATATTTACTTATATTGTTGGCTTTCATGCAATTATTTTTATCATTAGTGAAAACAATGTGAAGGCAAGTCTTATAATCATTTGAAAAGAGAGTATTTATTATAATATAATATCTAATTTTTGTAAATGTTATGTAAAATATAAATCAGATTTCACCAGAATATAAAAGTTCAGGTCAGCTTTCTTTACTTTTCTATATTTTTCTTATATTCTTTGCAGTATTATTAATTAAGTTTATGCACCTTCATGGTACATCTAAAAACTTCATTTGGCCAGTGAGAGATAATACCTGTTGGGTACCATTGTTGAATTTAATTGTAGTAATCAATGTCACAACAACAAGATTATGGCGAATATATAAAACTGAAGTGAATGATTATATTACTATAGCTAAAGAAATATAAAGAAATATAAAGAAATATAAATATACAACTAACAAATTTTAACTTTTGACTTTTACATTATTTTTGTTTCTGGGGTTTCTAATAAGTTTTTTTCCAAGTTATTTATTCATCATTCATTCATTCATTCATTAGTTTATATGCATTGATAAATATGAAATTCATGTTTTAAAAGTAATAAATTCAAGTAGATTTGACAATGTTTTTTTATTTTGTTTTAGGAAAAGCAACAATCCAATTATTTGTGATAACTCTAACTAAATTATTCAAGATAACTTCTGAAAAAAAATTGAGCTATACAATTGCATTTTCATAATTTAATTACCCCCAGTGAATTTATAATAGATTTTCAAAACTTAGGATCAGATTTATAAAACTACCAAGGAAACAGAAACGGTTAAAATCAACAACAATTAAAGGAATGATTTGATATGTATTACTGTATGATTATTGTAAATTATCAACTTTTCTGCTGCTTTGATTTTTCATTTTCTTTGATTCCTGTTTTATAAGTAATAAACTTAAGTAGATTTAATCATATTTTGTTTGTTGTTTTTTTCTGTTTTAGAAAAAACCGCTCTGCAAACTTTGTAAATATTTTAACTAAACTATTCAAGACAAAATCTAAATAAAATAAAAAAATCAAGCTACACCAGCATTTTTTTCCATTGCAGTTTTCCATTGCACACAGAACAGAAATAAGGGCTAAATTTATTTTTTAAATGGCGGACTTGTTAATTCGTTAAAAATTTAGGAGTTACATAGGTGCAATTATTTGTTTTAGATTTTTTTTTAAATAAAAAAGTACATGTGTATTACAACAATGTTTTTTGAGAATAAAATATAAAAATTAATTTGGCAACGAAATACAAAAAATATTTTCTGCTAGCAAAAAAAATGTGCTGTGAAGGTATGCTAAAAAAAATTTTAATTAAAAAAAAGAAAAGAAATTCCGTTATGATGCATTTAAATTTTGATTTTTAACTTTTTAAATAATCTTTTAAAAAAGTACTACTTTTATTACTATAATTTTTACTCTTTTAAATGTTCAATAAATATCAAGTTTAACCATATATAAAATATTCCATTATTACCAGGTTTGACCATATATAAAAAACAATTAAAAAACATTTAGAAATCTTAAAAATTTTAATTTTCTTACAGGGTTAGGCATTTGATTAGGATCTATTTTTTTTGGTTGCTGAGATGCGCCAACAGGTGCAGACATTGGGGAATTGATTCCAGAGGGTTGACGATTTCCATGTGGCTGACCAACACTCTGTGGCATAGGCATATGTTGGCCTACCATAGGTGGCATACCCATTTGTTGATTTGGAATTGGCGACATACCCATTGTTTGACCAGATAAAGGTTGCATACCTGTTTGTTGGCCAGTAAAAGGTGGAATACCCATTGGCTGACCTGTCATAGGTGCTATGCCCCTTTGTTGACCAGGTAAAGGCGGCATACCTACATTTTGAACAGGTCTTTGGTTGATGGTAGGTGGCATACCTATCTGTTGACCCATGGTAGAAGGCATTTTCTGACCAGTCCCATATGGTATTGTTGGCTGATGTCCCATAGGAGGTGGCAAACTTGTTGATGGAATATTACCTGAAATATGTTGTCCAGTCATTGGTGGTCCAACATTTTTTGAAAAGTTCATCGGCTGTGATACTGAAGGTGGAAAACCAATTGAATTACTATGCACTGGCTGTGGAGGTTGACCAATAGGTGGAGCAATCATAGTAGGGCCATTTGTAATATCTATTTTTTCATGTAAAGGTTTTTTTTAAATATTGCATTTTATAGGGAAATAAATTAACAATACTAAATAAAATAAACTAATAATACCCAAAAATATACAAATATTATTTAAACATACTTGTCATTGTTGTTGTCGTTGTAATAAATGCTTGACTTGATTGATTGATAGGCTGAAATAAAAATATAATTATTAAATAAGAAAAAATCTTTGAAAATCAATTAAAATGTTGTTCTTAATTAATCAAATTTTAGTTTAATTTAAACTTATATCATCAATAAAAATAAATTCATATTTATATATATTTTATATTATATTATATATATAATAAGTTTTATTTTGTACTTCTTATCCCAACCTAAAGAAATGGGATATTATGGGCCAAATGCAGCATTATACCGTGATAGAGAATGAACATGAGGATTTAACTTTGCTAACGACATAAAAGTCATTAACATGCTAATAACATAAAAATCATTAACATTAGACTGATAGTACATTGCAAAGTACATTGGAATGAAAGAAAATAACAAGAACATGCTTTAAGGTCTTGAAACACCTTCCTAGACTTTCTTTCTTTTTTTTTCTTTTTTTGATTATCATTATAAAACACTATCTTTTTCCAAAAATGTAAAAACCAAATTATTCAAAAGACCTGGAGAAAAATTACAGATTTTAAGGGAAAGTCAAAGAATTTTGTTGTACAAAATAAGAATAATTTAAGCAAAATAACTAAACTCAACCCTATAAAAACTCCTGATTGTTCCTAATTCCCAGAACTAGATCAAAGTTCTTAGACAAAAAAGTTTTAAGACAAAAAATTTTATTAAAAGGGTTTTAAAAGGGTTTAAGTTTTGACAGTTCAAGATTTTTTTAATTTACCCCCTTGAACATTTAAACAACATTTATGTATGAAATTTGAAATCTTTGAAAAAAATTATCTTGATATAAAATGAAAATGTAAAAGCGCTTTTTGCAACCTTACCCTAGGGAAAGTCTATTAGGGTTCAAGCGGGTTCAATTTAATCATCTTTTTTCCATTAAAAAACAATTATGCTCATTATGGTTAGATTATTGTTATTTTACATTATTATTGATAATTCAAACTAAGAAACCATAATAAACATTTGTTCATAAAATAGAAGCAAATTGCTACTTTAAAAGTGCTTGTTGTTTTATGCATGAATGTGTATTGGGAAAACCTGTTTACTGGTTTACCGATAATTAATATAGTACTCTATAATTTACTGGATTAAATACTTTCTTTACAAAAAAAAAAAAAAAAAAAAAATTATTTACAAATTTCATCAATAATAAATGTTATTGAAAAAAAGTAGCGTAATTTTAAACATAACTCTCTGAATTAGAGCGTTATGTGAGTAAGCAATGATCTTCAGAATAAAGTCTGCTGCAAAAAGAACTAATGCATCTATATAGCTTATTTGAACAACAAATCATTTACAGCCTTTGATTTAAAGTATTTTTTAAATGTTTTTTTTTGTTTTTTTTTTTTCACTTCAAGAGAAATTTAAAGTTTAATGTTTATAATCAAAAAAATGTAAATTGCAGCATTACATCAGTAACGAACATATGTTGTTCTACTTGAAGGTAATACAAATAGCCTAAAAATATTATTCATATACCAATACTACACATTTATATATAAACACATTTGGCACATATTAGAATGATCTAATAGAAACGCAAAGCATTAAAACTCAAGTATGAAGTTTGTAAATATTACATTAATTACCAAGAAGTGCTCTATATATATGAAATTAAAAAAAAGATTTTTGATTTAAATTTAAAACAATTTACAAATTACAATTTACAGACACAAAATTTAAAAGTAATAGTTATAATAGTAAAATCAACTTTACCATATTTGCATGTATTTGATTTCCAGAAGCATAAGATTTAACATTTAAAGTTTCAGTTGTTGACAATGACTCATTAAACTTTTGTTGAGGCATACCCAAAACTGGGGCCGCAACAGACTGTGGTAAACTATGAGTTGGTGGTGGTGGAATAGGAGGTTGCTGGGTCATTAAAGGTCTTGGTGGTGTTATATTAGGTGACGGTCCACTAGCTAAATTTTGACCTGGAGGTCTGTATTGAGTAAATGCTCCATGTGGCTAATATAAATTTAATAATAAAAAATAACACTATTTAAGTATATTTTAATAACACAAGCCTTATCAGGAAAGGCGTGCAACCGAATACCTTATATGACCTAATATAAGGTATTTTGACAACTGGGCCACTGCCGTGTTGTCAAAACAAAATGTTTGATAATTTGTGCTGTCGCAACTCATATGTTTTAATAATTTGCATGTTTTAAAAATGCACTGAAAAAAATAAATTTAAGAAAAAATTAATAATAAACAAACCATAACCTGAAAAGAGAAACATAAACCAGTAAAAACAAAACTATATGCTTTTATTTTTTTATCATTTGTTAAGATTTTTACTTTTTTAGTTTAGTTTTTTTTCAAACTTGCGAAGACCTGTGGCCAAGTTTTCTAAACAAAATATTATATGCATGATCATATAAGGCGTGCACACACTTTTCCTGAGAAAGTTTAATAATATTAAAAATAACTAAATTAAGTAGAAGTTATAAATAATAAAATTAAAAACTTTTTGTTTATTTTTAATTTCAAGCTTAAAATAATATTAAACATGCTAAAGAATATATATATATATATATATATATATATATATATATATATATATATATATATATACACATATATATATATATATATATATATATATATATATATATATATATATATATATATATATATATATATATATATATATATATATATATATATATATATATATATATATATATATATATACACACACACACACACTAATAAAAGATGACAACAAGTTACTTAAACTTAGATAGCTTAATAGCTAAAGAACAACATGGATTCAATACAGGTAATTCAGTAATTACAAATTTACTTAAATCATTAGATATAATAACCAATGCTTAAACAATGGATTTTATGCTTTAGTGGTTTACCTTGACTTCACTAAAGCATTCAATAGAGTAGATCATAAACTACTAATTGCTAAAATAAAAACTTAAATTATTTACAAATTGGCTACACAACTTTCTCTCAAACAGGCAAAAGGGTTGTGGTGTACCACAAGATTATTCAACCTATTTATTAATGACATGCCTGAACTAGTTCACCTGCAAGCTATTTGCAGATAACAGTAAGTTAATTGCCATAATCAAAAGCTAGAAAGATCAAGAAATATTACAAAATGACCTCAATGCATGAAATTAAATTACGAAAAATGTAAAACTATGAAAGTTTACAGTACCAAATCAAAAAAGTTAATTGACCATATAAAGGTCAAGGTCAAGCTGTCTCACTATATATAACAACCCACGATGGAACAATCATTAAATTAAATTAAAGAACACAGAAACGAGACCTAGGTATCAACATAAGTAATAATCTGATATGTAAAGACCACATCACAACAATAACCAATAAAGCTTACTCAAAACTAGGTACACTAAAGCAAACATTTAAATTCTGATCAACTGACTCGTTTACTAAACTATATACACCTTTCGTTAGACCTGAATTAGAATTTTGTGCACCAGTTCCACAACTATATACAACTTATGTTAGACCTGAATTAGAATTTTGTGAACTACATTTGAAAAATGAAATAAAAAAATTTGAAAATTATCAGCAAAGAACTAAAAAGCTTGTTCAGACATAATTGATATGAAAACCATTTATCAAGCTTAGGGTTAGAAAGTCTCTAAACCAGAAGAATTAGAGGGTACCTCATCCAATATTTTAAAATAAAAACAAATTTAAACAAAGTAAACTGGTGTCATTCAAACTCAAAAACTTTTTCTTTAACTCTAAAAGGTCCATCTTCAAATATCAGAGGAGAACCACACAAAGAGTACAGAGAGTTTATTAAACACAGTTAACACTAAAAATTCTTCAGCAACAGGATAGTGCCGTATTGGAAAAATTTAATAATTAACTTAGTAACATCAAAAACAGTTAAAAAATTCAAGAAAAAATACGATGTGCTACTATAGTAGGATTACAATAATCTTACTCAAAGATTTATAATATCTATGCTGATATTTATAATATATATACATAAATATATATATATATATAAATATATATATATATACATAAATATATATATATATATATATATATATATATATATATATATATATATATATATATATATATATATATATATATATATACATACATATATATATATATATATATATATATATATATATATATATATATATATATATATATATATATATATATATATATATATATATATATATATATATATTACACTAATTAAGGTTTAAAGGATTTGGAAACCAGCTAAAACAATATGTTAGCAGTTGTATTTTATTTGCACATAAATATATTACTTTTTGATTTAAACTTTTATTTATGATTTAGATACAGTTTTCTCTGTTTTAGGTATTTATCTGAAGTGCTCGCAATAAAAGTACTAGCGCAACAATTTTTTCTTCTACCAAATTTTTAATTCTTTAAAATAAGTTAATTCATTTTAAAAATGAATACTGATGAATAAGATTCCAATAGATATTATACATAAATTATTATTTTTTTAATAAGTAATTTTCATACTATATTAGATAAAAAACAATTTATTTTATTTAGAATTAAAACAAAATGTTTCTTTTTTAGTTTTTAATTTAATTATTTTGTTATATAACAAAATAAAAATTTTGTTCATCTGTATTTATTTTACTAAGAATTAAAATGACTCATATTTCTTAACTCTAGGCGTGGTATATCAGAAAAATATAAGTAAAGAACAACAACCCAATAAAATTTGAGCAATAAAATAATTTTAATCAACTTGATTCACTCCAAACAGCAGGTAAATTTTGGTGATCATTCAATTTTTTAATTATTCATCAGATATTTATTTTTTGTCCAGAAGAAACAAAACCTGAACCATTTTAACCATTTACACAACTGTTAAAAACATTAAAATTATCTTGCTCTAATGTGCTTCTCATAATATATATATATATATATATATATATATATATATATATATATATATATATATATATATATATATATATATATATATATATATATATATATATATATATATATATATATATATATATATATATATATATATATATATATATATATATATATATATATATATATATATAAAATTAAAGTTCTAGAGTTACTTTATTATATCTGTTGTTAAATATTATTTAATCATCTTTCTGGAATGGCTTTATAATAATTTGGTGAAAGTTTACAATTTTTTAAAAATTTTGTTTACATTGTTACACAGTTTTATTTAATTATTTTTGCATTATAACAGTATTGACTGCTATTTATTACAATTTAACATTTAAAAGGTAATACTTAGCCACAGTTACGGATGCTAATGCCATTTTAAGAATTAATATATTAGAATAGGTATATCACAAAAGTTTAATTTTATTATTTAAATGTGCCAAATTAAATGCAACTTTTTTGGGGCAGGTTAGAGCAGCAAATGAATGGTCATAAACTGTTCTTTAACATGTAAGGAAATTTTACATAGCAACAACTTATTTTTATATTAACGTTATTGTAACAGTTTTTTATTCGCGCTATGTACACTATATTAAATATATGTACTAAAATGAGATTCACACTTCTTATGGAAGTCATAATTTTAATTGGTTGCTACGAATACCTAATTTTTAAATTTATTTTTGCATAACAACAGTATTAATTGCTATTTTTTTACATTTATCATTTAAAAGGCAATACCTAGCTACAGTTATGGATGTTAATGTCATTTTAAGTTGCAATAAATGAATAATAGAATTGGCATAACATAAAAGTTTTATTTCATTATTTAAATGTGCCAAATTAAAAAAAAAAAGCAGAGCTATTTTTTTATTGTTAATAATTTTAGACATGGTGATCACAAAATTGGATATTCACATAATTTTACCTAAAAATAATATAAACATTTTTAACTCTAAAGCTAATGAACAACTTTTAAGCTATTTAAGTTGCAAAAGTGGATATGTCTTGTATCAGCAGTGATAAACTAAATGAACTCACCAATGGATATAAAAAAAGATGGAGAATTGCATAAAATTTGATGGTAGCACTGGGCAGTTCATATACAAGCAATACTACAACAGATGGTGAAAGACACCTTAAAAGTGAACAAAGTCTATTTCTCATGTGCCTTGTTCCACTTGAACTCTTGTTTTGCTGATGGTTGTAAACAAATAATTTGGTACAACCATAAGCCATCTTCAATATTGAACTGTCGTCTACTGCATTTCAAGTTTATTAAAGAAACAACAAATGTATCAATAGAAGAGTCTTTTATTAGAAATGCAAATTTTGAACTAACTCAATAGAATAACAACAGTATATTGCATATCATTGAAATAACCCTGGTAGATGGTAAAGTGGCAACAGCCTTATCAGTTGAGACCAATGCATTAAAGTCCTGCTCACTGTGTGGCAGCACACCAAAAGAGATGAACAATATTAAAAAAATGGTAGCAAAAAATGAAAACTACTCTGGTCTACAATATATAGTATGGCTTGTCATTATTACATGCATGGATTAGAACAATGGAATGCTCTCTTCACCTTGCAAAATGGATAACCAAAAATGACAAGCGCATAGCACAAAAGAAAATTTATTTGTGACAAAAAACAAAAAAATAATCTAAAATGCTTTTAAAAATTCTCTTGGATTAATTATTGATGTGCTTAAATATTGATGGTTCTGGGACATCCAATGATGGAAATACAGCTCATTGTTTTTTCCAATCTGAAAGTATCGTGGCTAAAATTTTACAGTTAAATGTACTACTGCTGAAAAAGTTTCAAGTCATCTTGACAACATTGTCACCAGCTCTGCCTATTAATGCAGATGCATGTCAAAAGTACTTTCTTGAGGTAAGTTTGTTTGCTAATATTATTTATATACTGAGCTGTGGCTAACTTAGCTTTTATAATTACATGATTTATTGCCTCTTTTAGGTGGCTCATTTGTTTGTACAGAGCTACCCATGGCATTACATGCGATCTCTGAAGAGCATTCCAATCTGAAAGTAAAGTAAAAAATAGGAAGCACAAAGCAAGAATTTCTAACATCTCCGTGAAAACTATACACACAAATGCAGTCTTCAGAAACCTAACTATGATGTATTATGCCCATTTTTGTGCTCATCAGACCCAGTAATCAGCAGCATGAGGAGATCAAATTCTCAAAATTCAAAATCTCAACTCCCAGAAGGAGTTAGTGATTTGCTTCAGACTCTGACTGTCAACTCATTAAAAATATGATTTCTTATTTTATGCATGTATGTATGTTTTATAAATTGTTAATGTGTTTTAAATTGTCAATGTTTTATTGCAATACATTTTGTTTTTTTTATTACTGACCTAAATCTTAACCTAAAAATAATTACTTAAACGTTTAATATTTAATGGTTATTAAAAATAGGACGGTTGAAAATCCGATAAAAATTTATTCAAAAATCCATTTATCTGTGTATAACTAAGGAAAGTATCTGGTTATTAAGCAATATAGGTATCCATAGCAATAAAATTTAAAAACTATAACTTCCATATAAAGTATGACCTTGTATTAGTACTCATGTCGAATTTAATGAATATAGTACTTGTAAAAAATCTGCAACTGTCAAAATAGGCTGTTGTTATGTAAATTTGATATTCATAAACTAGGTAACCATAGCAACCAAATGATAAATGCCCCCTCATAAATAGAGCAAACCCATTATAAATGCACAAACTAACTGCATGTTAGTTTGTGCATTTATAATGGGTTTGTATACTTATGCCAAATTTAGTAAATAAAGACCTATGATTGAATTAGTTATTAATTTTGTCCATTAATAGTGAATTCTGGCCCACTGTGCATTAGTCATTTTTGTGAGTTAAAATTGAACCTTTGTATTTTTCCACTAAATTTACTTTATTTTCATAGTCCTTTCCTTTGCAATCTTTAATGCCCAAACCATTACATTTTATTTCTTAAACTATCTCTGTAGCTGGACCAAGATCAGGTTTTTTGTTACTCTCAATAAAGTCATTAAAACTTTTTTCATTTAAGCTTTTTTCATCTTCATCGTTTAGTTTAAACATATCTGATAATTGGGTTCAAGTGATGGGACAAGTATTAAACCATGTGTTTTTTTTTATTCACTGCTTTAATATGAACAGGCAATTAACTATGCTAGTGACTGATTGGTTTAATTGTGTTCATAAATATTTCACTGCCTCTTCCACCAATCGTATCTGTAGATCTCAAGATTATATTTAGAACAGAATAATATTGTATCCAGTATGACTTTTATATTTCTACATTTTCATTTTTTTTCCATGAGCTTGAACTTAATTGGAGGGAAATTTTGATAGTTTTTCTTTTATTTTTTTTTATGTCCATTTTATGTAGCACTTGATGTAATCACTGCAATTCTAATATTAGGGAACTCTTGCATATAATTGGGAGCATTGTGCAGATGAAAAAGCAAACTGGAAAAATTGGAAAAAAAAAAAGGCTTATAATTGCGCCTCCTATATAACCTCCTGGATCCAGGCGGGTATGGAAGCTTTTATTAATTCTTGCTGTTTCAAGTCAAACCTCATTCTACTCATGGTTTACACCTTCTTGTGTAGCTACTACTTGTTTCTCTGTGCAGCGACCTTTTTTGTCAAGGTTCTTGTTTTGGAGCTATAGAATTGAGAGGATTGTAACCACAACAAATGCATAGTTATGTACTTTTAATCTATTTGATGGATTATTTAGAAGAATTTTTTTTTTATTTTTAAAAGCCTTAGAGATAAATGCTCATCAAACACTAAACAGTTGATTTGGCTACTTGCTTATAAATTATTGTGAATGAAAATTATCAGAAAAATACTAACTTGTTGAGGATTTAATTGCATTTCTTTCATCTGTTTTGCAACCTATAAAAAGATTTTTTTTTTCAAACTTAGAACTATATAATCTAATAAAATTTATAACTACAACAATAATAAAAATAATATAACTATTTTTTATTCTTTATATTTAAAACTATTAATTACACTATTAACTATACTATATCATCACCATAATTACTTTACTTTTATTAGTAAAACTTAATTACTTATAATGCGATATATATATATATATATATATATATATATATATATATATATATATATATATATATATATATATATATATATATATATATATATTGAAAATTTTTTTTTTACATTTCATGATTATTTACTAATAGTACAAGATAAGTAATAATGGCTAATTAAAAATAAAGATAAAAGGCTAATTAAAAATAAAGAAAAAGATTGATAGGTATAAAAAACGAAAATATTGAAGAAAAAATTATACAAGAAAAAAAATAAAATGAACAAATAGATTTTATAAAACATAAACAAAAACAAAACAAAATAATCAATTAAAAGCAAAGTACCATATTAAAAGAAAAAAAAATTCAATAAATGATTGAAATAATAAAAATAACTATTTAAAACTAAAAAATAAATTGTCACCAATTTTTTCACAACCTTTCCTTTTCTGCCAAAAATAACAAAAGATTTATTATTTTTTTATTTTATATTTTTTTGTAGATTAAGTTTGTCTTTTTGCTTGCATAAAGTTTGTTATTATTTGTGCTATTATTGCTAATTATTTTATTGTTGATTGCTGTTATTTTTAATTGCATATTTTTATTTGTTAATATTTTTACTATAATGTAATTAGTTACTTTTTAATTAATTTATTTTATGCTTGCTTTTATTAATATTTTTGTTGTTGCTTTTTTGTTTGTTCATTTTATTTAGGGGTCACTCCAATGACTAGTTTTTAACTATATAAATGATACCTAACCTAAATTTGTAAATTATAATAAAATTTGTAATTTTTTAATTTTTGGTTGAATAAATGAATAATAAGTGGGTCAATTTATTTCTTACAATATTTAAAGTTTTTAGTTTACAACTTGCTGAATTTTTAAAAATAATTGTTATTTGCAAAACTGTTGATACATATTCAAGAAATAAAACAAAACTTATTTTATTTATTTAGTTATAGAAAAAACATGATTGAGTGAAACTTCTTGATATAAGCCTGAAAGTGTTATGGAGTCAATATCCACAAAGCCCTTTTACTCAATATAGACATGTCTCACTTAAAATATTTTTTTTCACACTACAGTCGAAAAGGTCTCCTCTTTTTTTTTATTTTGTAATTCTCTGTCTCTCCTACTCTTTTATTTCTGTAACATAAATTTTGATTAATTAGCGCAATAAATTACAAAAAATATAAATTATATATAATACCGCAATTATAAAACAAAAATTAGTTAGATGGAACAGTATTAGTTAGATGGAACAGAGATTTGGTCTGCAAATGGCGTATATGAGATAGGGGGCAGAGGTCAATTATAAAAGTAAGGAGACACTAAAATAAAAAAATATCATAAAATGTTGGGTAGGTAGGTTAAAAGTGTAGGTACTTTTAGGGAGGTTGAGGGTACTCAAAAAAGAGTACATCAAAATGTGGGGGAGACGGAGAGGTGAAAATAAAAGCTCACGTACTTTATGGACGACTCCTTATTTTAAATAGTAACCTATTAATTATTATTATATTAAGAAACTTGATATATTTAGGCAAACTTAATTAGCACAAATTAATCAGCGTTATTTTGTAAAAAAGCAATTTAACGTATAAGATTTCTCCACCTTTTTAATATAGACCCGGTGTCAGGTACCTTGACTCGAACCTGGTTTTTTGTTCCAGGTATCCGGAATCGGGGACTTGGCTTAAACTTGTTCCAGCACATCTCTAATATATATACATATATATATATATATATATATATATATATATATATATATATATATATATATATATATATATATATATATATATATATATATATATATGTATATATATATATATATATATATATATATATTATATATATATATATATATATATATATATATATATATATATATATATATATATATATATATATATATATATATAATAAAAATAATAGCAATAGTAACAATAATTTTAATAATAATAAGTAAAAAAAATATACAACGCCATAAAAAAATTTAAAGAAAAAAATTATTTAAAAATTAACATAACAAAAAATGTTAAAAACAATTATCAGTATATTTTAACAAACCAAAAATACCATAATTTTTTTGGATTTAGTAAGAAATAATAAAAATACATTAGGTTTCACAGTAAATGAAAACAAAATATTTCAATGGAAATAAATTAAAAAAAAGAAGCAGGAAGGCAGTAATCTTCGTTTAATTACAATTTTTATTTGGTCAAAAGCCAGTTGCTAATATGCTTTAGGTAGCGCAAACGTTTTTTTATTAAAGCGGAAACCCAATCTAATTGTGTAGTTGTAAGAAATTCCTTTAAGAGAATCAACCATAAACAAGTGTTCCCTCATTAAAAAAAAAAAAATAACCATAAAACAAATGTTTTAAAGAAAGAAAAACAAATTTTATAAGTATAAGATTTTAAAATAAGGACATTTTTTTTAAACAACATTTAAATTTTATTTATAATTTTTTTTATAACAATATTGTTTAATTTAATGATATTTCATTTCAAAGACTTTAAACAATTTTTAATGTGATTTTAAATTTAATTAGAATGAGGTACTTTAAAATACACAATTGATGTAATAAAACTTTTAATGATGTAAATATTTTTATTGAGTAAAGTTATTTTTATTCGCATTACGATTTTCTGTTAAGCAACAAAATCTTATAACAAGGTCTGTATTTAACTATTTTATATGCATTTTTTTATATACTTTAAATGAACATTTATTTATTTTTAAAGTGTCGACCATTAACAAGAGACTATATATTTCTTGATTTTAAATCAAACTTGAAATTCTTTTTACTTAGTGTTTCTTTCACTTGTAACTTCTAACCAACATAAACAACCATAAATTGTTTTAAAAAGATTTTTTGATGCTTTAAATGTTCAAAGCAAGTAAGGGAAAATTTATGCTGGTTTATAAATTTTAAAAACCGTATAATGGATTGTCTCATCTTTCTCAAAATACCATGTGTTAAAAACAAATAGTTTTTACCTTACAAATCATGCTAAATTAACTATTCTTTCTAACAAATGAATAATGAAGTTAGAAAGAATAGTTTTTTTCTAAAAATAATTAGTACAAAACTTGTACTCATAAGTATTTATCAAGACTTGCATCAATCGCGCCTTTGCTAAGATACACGTTTTTTATCAAACAAATTAAACATTCCGAAAAACAGATGTCCTTAGCTCAGCAAACAAAACTATAAAATAAGCACTTTATATATCTTTTTAAAAAATGTTCACCCTAAAGAGAGAAAAAAAACTACAACATACATAATAATAACTATAACAGTAATATGAAGACTGAAGACTACTTAAAAATAATTTTTAAAGACAATAGTCAATATAAATTGTTATTGAACAGAAAGAATATATACCAACAGCAACAAACTATATCATATATCAATTTTAATTTATTTTATGTAAATAATTCATCTTAATTTAAGTTTTTTTTTTTTTTTTGAATTAATTTTAATTTCTTTTCTTGAATTTATTTTGTTCATTTTTGTTGTTTTTTTATTTTGTTTTGCTTTTTTAAAATAATTTTCTTTACTTTACATTCTTTGTTTTTTTTATCTATTATTATTTTTTTCAAAAATTTCCTAAACTTTCCTTGTTTTTTTTTATATATAAAATTATTCATTATAATAAAAGCGTTTGCTATCTCATTATTATTGTTATTAATATAAAATTTATTGTTATTCATTAATTTTATTATTATTATTATTATTATTATTATTATTATTATTATTATTATTATTATTATTATTATTATTATTAGTAGTAGTAGTAGTAGTAGTAGTAGTAGTAGTAGTAGTAGTAGTAGTAGTAGTAGTAGTAGTAGTAGTAGTAGTTATTATCATAGTTTACATCAACATTTTGTTAAATTGATTTTCCATTATTTTAGTAATCATTATTGATATCAACTTATAAGATTTTTGAAACTATTAAAAAATACTGAAAAAATTTTTCAATTGTTTTGTAACTAGATCTAATAGTACATCTAAACAAAAGTAAAATTATCACAGTTTAATTATATTTACATTATTTGCCAAAAATGGTTCTTGGGAATGCACAATACCACCATTCTGTGATGAAAGACTATTTAGAGTTCCAGTATTCTGATAATTTGGGATAGGAGACAAATTTTGAGGGGGAGTCATCTTATTGGACATTTGATTTGTTTGTTGCTGTAGCAGTGGAGTCTGATAATTTTGTTGTTGAGACGGATTCGGATTATATGGTTGATATAGTTGTGGAGGTCGGTTCATTTTTTCTTTATAAAAAAGCACTAATCAAATATACTAAAAATTAATTGCAACATGTATTTATATATTTTTAACGCTTTTATAATTTTGTGTGGTCTTTCATTTATAACTCACAGATTTATCTTTGGTGACAAAATTTAAAGCGTAGCAAGCAATACCATCTTTACCACGTCAAAACAACAACGTGTAAATAACGGAACATTTCTAGGCACGTATTTTATTTATAAACAAACTTAGATTTTTTTTCGTCCCGTTCTATTTGAAAACTACCGGCAAAACTTTAACAACGGTAATACTTTAATACCGGTTATTAAGTAAACTGGGGTACGAACAAAGTAGAGTGAATTTTTACGTTTGACAAATTTTTACGTTTTTTTTTATACGGTTTAGCTGCACTGCTCTTTTTAATGGTTTTAAGTTGAAGTTATTGTTACTTTAGATTTTTTAAACCATTCTTTCCAGCAGTTTGACATGAATTAGAAACCGTTAAAAATGAATTAAAAACTGCAACTTTTTTCATTTTTTGACCATATTTCTACACATTTAAAATCTTCAAAAAATGAGGGGGTACTAATCTTTATGTTGCTGTATATTTTGAGTATCAAAATATATTTTGATAAAATTGGAAACCTAATTTGAATTTATGATGAAATTTAAAATAAATAACTTTTTTTTAAAAAAAAAAATTACTTTCCCTCGACCAGGGAGATGCAGAGGATGTTTTTCAAGGGTATTTCTACTCTTATTTGCAAATCACATATCATATCTTTGGAAAAGAAGAATTCACTGATTCATTTGATCAAAGACTTAGTGGACCCCTGGAGTCAGTCTGAACCTAAGTACTTATCCATCTGGAATATGCGGAAGCTGCAAAATAAACTTTTTATTATTATTATTATTATTATTGCTATTAATATTATTATTATTATTATTATTATTATTATTATTACTATTATTATTATTATTATTATTATTATTATTATTATTATTAGTAGTAGTAGTAGTAGTAGTAGTAGTAGTAGTAGTAGTAGTAGTAGTAGTAGTAGTAGTAGTAGTAGTAGTAGTAGTAGTAGTAGTAGTAGTAGTAGTAGTAGTAGTAGTAATAGCAGTAGTAGTAGCAGTAAAAGTAGTAGTAGTAGTAGCAGTAGCAGTAGCAGTAGCAGTAGTAGTAGTAGTAGTAGTAGTAGTAGTAGTAGTAGTAGTAGTAGTAGTAGTAGTAGTAGTAGTAGTAGTAGTAGTAGTAGTAGATGCTGTAACCGCTCGAAGACGACGAGTGTGTGCACTAATAACACACTTAGACCGTGTCAGTATTAATTTAATTTAAAAGGAGCCAATTGTCTAATTGTGATTTAAAACTGTTTCCTCTCGATAATTGAAAATCATTTGGTTTGAAAACGTTTATAAAGTCCACATTTTCAATCTTGTTTAATAACTTATAAGTCTGGATCAAATCTCCACGAATTCTGCGTTCATGTAATGAGGTGAGGTCAATAATCTCCAGTCTTTTCACGTATTTCATTTTTTCCAGAGTCGGATTGAGTCTCGTAACCCTGTGTTGAAGTTTCTCGAGCATTTCTATTTCTTTTTTATGCTGAGGGGACCACACTGAAACCGCGAGTTCAATTAATGGGCAAACAAACGTCATATTAGACTTTAAGAGTCTGCACATCCAGTTCCACAAATGTGATTTTAATCATTCCCAACATTTTATTTGCCTTGCTGCAAGATATAATTTGCTGTCTCCATTTCATGTTTGCCGAGAATAATACGCCTAAATTTTTTTGAATAGTGGTTTGTCCTAGGACTTATTATTTACATTTAAAACAGAAAAGTTAAGCTATCAGTAAAGCAAACTTCTAAACGAGACTTCCTGGATGAATGGTCGTGATCAAATTAGAAAGTTGAATAAATTAAAAAGATTTAAACAAAAAGATGACAACTGCAATTGTGCTGTTTGTTGCCTTGGGCAGTGTACTAAAATTAGTAGTACACTTAATTTTTCTGAATTTAACAACCTAAAATATAAAAAGATTACTTTCGAAAAAAAAAAATTATTTTGCTTAGAATGCTGCCACTGTTGCTCCTGGTATTTTTCACCCTTGCAACAACAAAAGAAACTGTTCAAAATCTTTACACCATAGTTACTTTAAAGAATCAACATATCGCTGAGTTATTTTTTGTACACTAAAAGATATATCTGTTGTTGGAGATAGTAAAAAAAATAAAACTTGCAATAGGAAGAAAAGCACTTCCTGTTAAATTATACAAAGACTAATCACCTATAAGACATATAATATCGAAGCAATCATGATATTTACATCAATTAGAGTTTCAACTTAATTTTAAGGGGCATGATGAGCTGTTTGGTAAGGATCGAGTTTTATAGCGGGTTGATGCCATCATTTTGCAGACTTTTTCTTTTTTCACCTTATTGGTGGCATAACTTGAATTTTTTTGGAAGTCTTTTTTATTTTTTGTTACTTCACCTGTCTTACGAACAACTCTTTTAACTATTGTCCAAAAATCTTCAATCTTGCGCTCTTCAGGACGATATGAAGGATTCGCATCCTTAGGAACAATTTTCACATTATTATCTTTGCACCACCGTAGAACTTTTATAAAATAGTGAGAAGCAGCAAGATCTGGTCAAAAGAGCCATCGTTATTTGTGTTTTTTAATAAATTTTAAAAGTCTTTTTTGGAAGCATTCTTTGATGTAGAGACTGGCATTCAAGGTCTTCTTAGTGATAAAACAAGAGGATTGCATACCACAGCTACAAATTGCTTGCCACATAAGAAACTTGGATAAAAATTTTTCTCGTCGAATATATTTAAATTGATCATCGACAGGTTTATATTTGTTTTTATAGTTAAAATCAAACCAGGAAGTCGTGAAAAATTTGCCTTGCAATATGTCTCGTCGTCTTCAATTATGCACATAATTTTCTCTGCCATTATTTTAACCAACTTCTTTGCGCGTTCAATTCCTTTGATTTTACCATTTAAGCTTCCCTTAAATGTATTTTTCTTATTAAACACATTAATTCCAGCATTTTTAAGTAATTTTTGATATAAGAACGTAAAATCTTGAATTTTCTTGGTAGATCTTGCTGTGACTGCTTTGGATTTCTTGCGATTGAACGTAAAATCGACTTCACCTTTTGGATTTATGGATAATTTTCTTTCTTCCATTTCTAGGTTTTCTTTCGAAGCTTTGAGTATTCTTGAACTTATTTATAATATCTATGACTGTAGATTTTGGGACACTTGTACATTTAGCAATCAAGCGATATGAAGTCGAAGGATTTTCGCTAAATAAAATTCACAACATTTTTACGCACATCAATTTGTTTACAAATCATAGATTTGTAAACAAAAGTTTATCAACACAAATGAAGATAAGAAAGTAACTTTTAATTAAAAATATAAAAAAAATAAAAAGTATTTTTGGTTTTAGAGAAATCTCAATTTAAAGTTGACTGGATTTTTCCGTGTCTACCCGATATGTGTTGGTATTGATGGAGGGCAGGCATCTCTTAAAATTCCCATGAACGTATTTGATCCGTCAGTATTAAATTTTCAACCAAAGTACACCAGGGTCAAATAAATTATTTTAGGCATAGTTCGAAACGTAGAAGAGAATTATCAAAATTTAAAAACACTTTTCCAACTCCATCTAATCAATCAACCAATCAACTAACATCTAATCAACCAATCAACTAACATTTAATCAACCAATCAACTAACATCTAATCAACCAATCAACTAACATCTAATCAACCAATCAACTAACATTTCCTTGGCTTGTGACCTAAAACTAATCAACATCACCATTTTAGGATTATCAGTAAATACCTTTCTTTTGCTGACTTGATATGAAATGTAAATTTTAATCAAGCGATACCTTAAAGTTATTTTCTATAATAAAGATTCACGGTGGAAAATACTCATGTTGCTATTGTGATGAGTCGATGAACAAAAAAAGAGTTTAAAGGACTTTCGAATCACTAGCAGATGAATTCGAAAAATACCAATTTGATAAGAAACCTTGTATACAGATGCAATATTATAAAAAAGATACTAACTCATGTCTGTTGGATGAGAAAGAAATTGACTGGGGAAATTTAATCAACATAATGAATACAACCACCTGAATATCATAACTATGAACACTATGTTAGTTAAAATTATTGATCTCTTCTTCAGTAATAAATATCTAAAGGAATTTCTTGAAAAGAATACGGTTATCAGACATGGCTATAATAGTGGTAGTTTTGATATACCTAACTGTGCCAAACTTTTAAGATCTTTGGACGAAATGACACTTCATTCTCTAATTAAATATTAAGAATTTATTGAAACCCTGTGGATTTAAAGAAGAAAAACGTCTATCACGGTGAAAAGCTAAGAGTTATGGTTGTTGAATGTAATTAAACGAGATTGTAAGAAGATTTTTCAGGAGTATATTTAGATTGAAAAAATACAATATCTTTTTTGTAGAAATATTATAACATTTAAAATACTGTTTGGGCATTTCTTTTGTCTAAATGTTTTGTGTGTGTTTTTTGATTGCACTCTTTATAGATTTTTGACAAGAAAGTAATTGCAACTATCCATTAAAATGAAATCTTTTTGTAATATCCATTAAAATGAGAACGTTGATTTTTTGCAAAAAACCACAATGATTTTGTGCAAAAAACCACGGCAATACCCGATAAAAACGCCCCCTGTATCCAGCAGTTTGAGGGAAATTAATTATTTATGTTGAATTAAGTCATAAACTGTAATTAGTTTTCCAATTTTATCAAAATATGTTTTAAAGCTCAAATAATACGGCCACCTAATGTTTAGAGTCCCTTCATCTTTTTGAAGATTTTAAATATTTAGAAAAATGGTCAAAAAATGAAAAAAGATGCGGTTTTTAATTCGTTTTCAACGGTTTCTATTTCATGTCAACCTGCTGGAAAGAGTGGTTAAAAAAACTCTGAAGTAAAAATAACTTCAATTTAAAATCTCTAAAAAAGTGCAGTGGCTGGTTTTTTTGCATTTTCCGTTCCAAAAGCTAAAACAAAAAAACCCTAAAAAGATTATATTGACAAGATTATATTAACGAAAATTTGGCTATATCTAAAGGTATAACAAATATTTTTTTTCACCTTAGTTAACAAAAAAAAAAAGTAATTTAT